GTGCATCCTAAAACATCCTAAAACATTATATCAAAGAGGCTATAACAAGAGAGAGAAGCTATGACAAGTACTAAGTCAATTAAGGTCAATACATTTCTAAATAGTTGCCAAGGATGGAGTTTAATGCAAACTGTTACGCTGATGTGTAATTAATTCTGATCAGTTAGCAAATAAGCAATTAGCAAAAAGGTAAAAGCAACATTGTAGTTTACTACTCTTTGTTCAATAAGAGTCCTATTTTCCACACCTAAAGAAAAATCTGGCACTAAAAACTGCTGTGACTCAGATATTTCAATTGCTCCATTCCAGTAAGCTTATTTAATTAATTCATTAATCATTTAATTTTTATAACGCCTTATAAGACACCCAAAGTGCATTACCGTGTATTCTTCATTTACCACCACAGCATGTGGAGTGAACTACTACTGTAGCCACAGCTGCCCTGGGGCAAACTGATGGAAGCAGTGGCTGCCATTGGCTCTTCTGACCATCACCATTCATGCACAATCCACTTTCTTAATAGGCAATGTGGGTCAAGTGTCTTGCCTAAGGACACAACGACAGTTTCTGCCACTGCAGTCCCACTGTGACACCTGGTTTTCCCAGTGGTCTCTCACCCAAGTACTAACTAAGCCCAGCCCTGCTTAGCTTCTGAGACCTGATGAGATCAGACACACCTTAGTGTTCAAAGATAAACCTTTGGTACATAAATAATATTTTTTTTTATTATGAGTATGAGAATGCTCAATGGAAGGTTAAATTATCACTGCATTATTTAACAACCTGCAAAAGTAAATGATAAAAATCTATATTTATATGTAGTGCATGTTGAAGCCATTGCCATTTTAGATTTAGATATTAGCCTTAGGCGATAGGTCTATTGTAAACATGCTAACGCTGGTGGTGTGTAGGGAGTGCTCTGTGCAGGTTGCAGGCTGAGAGCACAGCTGAGCAGCGCAGCAGGGGTCTGCCTCTGTGTGGAGACACTCCAATAATTATATGTGAGATTTCCTCTGCAGCAGATGAACGTCAGGAGCCAAACACAGCCCCCAAAAGACCTGATGCTGTACTCAACTCAGTTTAAGAGTTTAAGTGCCAGAGTGTACAGTATTTTCTTGCATTCTTATATTTAAAGGTAATATCTTATGCAAAACTGATGCTTGTGAGCTTTAAACCATGCTAGAATGTTGTTACCTCCTCAAAAACATATCTGAAGTCTGTATTTCCAAAAACAGCTCCTTTTACCCGTTGTTCAATAGAGATTTTAAATTCCAAACCTAAAATCAAAGATTCTAGTGAAAAGTGTACGAGTTTAAAATCACAGCGTAGCACTTTCTGTATTACCACAAGACATCACAAGGTGAAACAGAGGATTCAGAAGTCTGCCTAAATGTGCAGGTTTTGTGTGTTAAACATGTATGACTGAAACAAAATACAACTCCTGTTATGTTTGTGATGAGGAAACAGCTTTATAATGCATCAAAAAATAGTCTAATATGAACAATTTAAAGACTTACACCAACGGTTTTGGTTTTGAATTTGCTATGAAAGGTATGTTGTGGTTTATCATGGGAAGCACCGGTTTTCTAGAACAATCAAGAACATTGCTCAGGAAAATTGCTCATATTCACTCACACATTCTTAACACGTATGATAGTGAAACCTGTTTTAGCTGAGAACACAGCTTGAAAACAAACTTCAAAAGGTCATTTCAATAACTGTTGGATCAATGGAGTTTGAAACCCTTTGGTACATACAGGCAACATATTGCACATATTATTCAAATGTGATTAAAACAACATGTTAAATGCTGTTTTGCTCAACTAATTAGGTAGATATGTTCTGGTTTAGTACTAATAGACAGTGGGACAAAACAGAAGTTACATTCAGAAAAACGAGAACTATGAGAGGCTCCATTGCACTTATCATCATTTTATCATTTACTGACACAGTGAATAGCCCTTACCGCTTTCCATGCTATCATAATATTACCTAAACATAAAGGTGCATTGTGTAACTTTTCTGGTGAAGGGTCCATCGAATGCTTTTCTGAAATATGATTTTGTCTGGAATGTTTCACAGTATGATATTAAATATTTGTATGATCATGGAGATCAAAACAGACCAAGAGTGAGGGCAGATCTGTGGAGAGGCAACCCTGCTCACAGTCAGAATGCCTGTTTTTCTGGGTATTTTTGAGCTATAAACCCACCATGAATAAATGTAAGGTAGAGCTGTTTAGTGTTAAACTGGGGAACATTCCAGGCAGAGCAATGACATATCCATAGAAAGAAGCAGTTGACAAAACATCCACCAAAGAAATTACACAATGCACCTTTAAATTGGTGTACTACAGTTAGTCTTGCAACACTAGTTTTGGTCTTCTCAAAAACACACTTCCCTTCTTTGCTTCTTTAACATATCACTGACAAAAGCTAATATTTATTTTACCACTAAGTTTAAGGAAACTTTGTGAAATGGTTAGAAAGATAGTGGATCTGAAATTTTCAAAGTTTTAGGAGTGAGTTTTAGAAATCAAAACATAATCTTCAAAAGCTTAGACACGAACAATGATTTCTATTTTATGACGTGTTTTGAGGAGACACTGGCAGAGAGGTTGTAAAACTACACAGAGAATATTTTATTATGGGCTTTCAATCAGTCAAGACATGGGGCTGCTATAAGAAAGGCTTCGTACAGTCAAGGCAACAAGAAGAAATACATGGCAAAGAGAAAGAACTCTGCTGTGCCAAACATGAGGTGGGTGTCAGACTGTTTACTGAAACCAATCAATGCCCAACCCACTGCGCCAACACCGGCAAGGAGACTTAAACAGAGAAACTTCTGCCTATCAACTTCAAACAGAGTGCACCAGCAAGACAGGTATTTGGACAAACGTCAACAAAATCCAACACAAAAGAACATAGACAGACTGGTAATTTAAAAGGTTGAAAATATGTTTTAAACAGAGTGAGTGTTACTTACGAGGTATAAGAATTATGTGGTTCAAAAGAGGGCTGGGGAATATGGCAAACTTCTTATTTAAAATGAACTATCTGAAATGAATTGCATGTACAGTGAATGTCCTGGTGTTATATTTGCTTTCGTGTGATCGTTGCTGTACTTTTCCCTGTCCTACAGACTGTTTGACATCAGCCTGCTATGGAACAAATCTTATACATATTTACATAATATATGTTAATTAATATGCATAGTTACTAAACACTCTCTTTTTACCTGATTTAGCTGCAGATTAGATTAGATTTTTCTGATCAAGAACAAATAAAATGTCTTTCTGTATTAATTGCATGAACATAATAATGAGAGACTTAGGTTATGAAATAATAATAAGTCTGACTTATTTAACCCCATGCTTTTACTGAGAGAGGATTGGCTTTTACTGAAAGGATTGGCTGTGCAAGTGACTAGTACAAAAGATTGTAATAACACCCTGTTTAACATTTGATAAACTGTCCAAATTGCCCAGACCCATTATGAAAATTGCATTTTAATACAGAACTCATGGGTGTGGGGAAATTATAGAGCACTATATTCTATTTATCAAAATATACTTAAATCTGCCACACAACATACGTCTTGTTTATAAATAACCACACACCACATTTAACCTCAAGAATACACATCTGAGCCTCATATGAAACTTGCTTGTCTAGCTGAAGTTTTGTAATAAAGATGGCTTGGAGTGGAGTGTACGAGCACAAATAAAAGAAACATATATTTTTGTACCTTTTTCTATTCCTATGTTTCCTATAAATCCCAAATGCTAACCCCTTAGACAACAGACAAGCTTAGAGAGAGGCATGATGCCAGTGTGCCCATGTCAGCAGATAAACAGACCTTCCAGCCATAGATACAGTTACAGCGGGCAATTCCCAGCTTCATTTTAGGTGACAACCCCCACACCTCGCACCTTTTGTGATTTATAGGCAATTCCCCATAGACAATGCTCTGTTTCTTCCCAGGTGCAAAACACAGAAGCATAAAAATAGACAATTCAACAGCAATAACTCAATTTTGGTTGTTTTGGGCTTTAAATTTATTGTATTTCATGCAGATTAGCACTGGATTTCCATTATTGTAACCTACCTATGTGTAAACAAATCTATACAGATAAAATGAAAGCTTATCATATCCTGTTTAAAGTTTTATGGTTGTCTGGTTATACAGTTATGTAATATGCAGAAGAGAAAATAGTACACTAGTTCCATGTATTCATGCAGTAAATTGTCTCCGTAGATCAATTGAGTTTACAGTCAACCAGCCCCTTTAAATGAGAGGAGGGTGTTAATGCTGATGTTATAGACAGCTTTACAAGTCTCTGCAGTTAAATAAAAGTTAATGGGGAGTTTGCAGGTGCACGCTTGTAACATTAAACAAGTCTTACAACGACAGTCTTTCAAATATATGTTTTTGCTCCACTGAATGAAAAGTAAGGAGAGTCTGAGTGACCAAAGCCGATAGCGGAGAAGTTACAGGGCGAAGCGTGCGCCGCAGGGGGTTTGGGGATGTGCCCGTACATGTCTGGCATCTATTAGCGCTGATAATATAACGACCAGTAGTGACAGTTATAACATAAAAGCTACTGTTGGGCTTAATCAGGTTGGCCTTTAATCAGCTCGTGCCCAATAACGTGCCACAAGCTATTAAAACTAATATTGCAAGTTTACAGCTTTGACAGTTCTTCACATTCACTGAACATGACGATCAGAAGTCTATAATGGTGTCAGGATGATGAATTACACAAAATAAGTCATGCAAAATGGAAGAAATAGAAGAAACAAAAACCAAAACAAATATGTCGTAAGATAGTTGAAGACGCGAGAGCACGCATGCACGCACTGACGCTTGTACGAACTTGTAGCAATTCATACCAAGTTGAAATCATACTTTTTGGTCTTTTGGTGAGATTTTACGCCTGTTTGCTTCAATGGCACCTGTCAAGCCATGATGAACACAGTAACTTGAGATAACTAACTTACCTCGTTGGTTGCACGTTGCTGCTGTTGTCCGCGTACGAGTCTTCGGTATCCGCAGCGGAGCCGACCTCATCGTCCTCAATGGTCACGTCAGGTCCGAACACCGGGGCTTCGCTACCGTCCTCTGCCCAGTCCCTCTGCTGCTGCTCCCGCTGGCTTTGGTGGTGGTGGTGGTGATGGTGCTGCTCCATGGCTCTCCTCACCCCATGTTCCCCGGAGGAGGAGGCTGCAGCCCGGGTAGCAGAGGAAGGCAGCTCCGTCCCCGCGGTGGAGAGCGACGTGCCGAGTCCGATGAGCGCTTTGAGCAGTAGCAAGAGCAGGAGCACCAGGGTTATGCTCACGTTTCCAAAGCGAAGCCCCGTTTCCATTTGAAAGACTGGCACATTAGTGACAGATGAGATTCACATGCCACGAGTCCACTAAATTTTGACATAAAAAACTAAAGTGCAAAAATAGACGATCTATCTATAACAAAAATACGCGCGTGTCCTGCAAAACGCCCTTTCAAAGAGTCTTCAAGTAAACATAAACAGCCTCTGGGACACCATGTTATTCGCTTTATACTTGCCACTAGACTTGCCTTGGTAACGCTAAAGCCCTCCCCGTTTCTAAACTAGGATTGGACGCGAAAAACTCAATTTTAGTTAGAAAATTACCGTAAAACTTCTCATTGAACCGTCTCACGCCAATCATGGGCACTCGCTTACTAAGCACAAGGCGATTGGCTCAGAGGACTATCAATCTGTCAGGCGGGTCTTACGTTTTCCAGCCCCCCAAACAGTAACGCTGATTGATCCGCGTTGCTGTCAGTCAAACTCACGCATGCGCAGAACGAGCCGCCGCACATCGAAAGCAAAAAGTGACGCAAAAAAGTCCCCGATGGCGTTTCCAAATACTGGGCGGTGATTGGGGGGATAACGGCACTTTTTGACCAATCAAAACGAGGATGAAGTTATGCGGAGTTGCGATTGGTTATTGCTCGACTCAGCTGAGAAAATGGAGCCTTATGATTGGCTGTGAGAGCTGTCATTCAGAGGGAGTTGTCATGAGAAAGCTGACATGAAAACACCAACGTGGCTGTATTTGAACGGCACAGCTCCTCATCACGAGTGAAACCTTTTTTTTCACTTTCACTGTAAACAAACCAAAAGGATATGACATAATATGGGCAGATGGAACCAAAGAGAAATAGACTGTCGTGTTGTCACGCCTGAAAACGAATGACAAAATACAGTATCAGTGGACAAGCCGCAGTATAATGCAGTTATAGCTATACTCTGATATTTACTGTGTGTTTCAGCGGTGTGATGGCTGGAGTTAAGCGCTGTTAGTCTGATTAAAAGGAGCTGCATTAAATATTTGACAGTATGGCATCAAACCTATCCTACATTTATTCAATTTGTTATTCAGATTTTTGTATTGCCTAAATATCTAGAAAAAACATGCATTCTCACTGTGAGCAGCCCAGCATATCCACAGAGCTGACCTGTAACTTCGCCCGATAACTTCACCTGCTTGTGTCCATGGAGAAAGGGAAGCTAAACGCCATACTGTGGAACATTTCAGGTGAAGCAATGACATCTCCGTGAAGTCATGCAGGCGACAGACCAAGCACCTGTTATAGTTATAGATTGTAATAAGGTAAAGGTGCACTAATATAATATGCATTTTGATTATAACTCATATATCAATACTCTACAATAATATGGGAATTGTATAATATCAATTAATATAAAGGCCATACAAGGTTGCGTGATTCATCTCAGCTGACAACGTCCTGAGACAATTTCTAGCGCCCTCAAGTGACAAACCGTAAAATTACATCACTAGCACACAGGTCTGAAGAAAGGAAACGATTGACAAAGTTAACAAGAATCTATAAATGAGTCAAGAAGGCAGTGTGTAGTTTTTGTTTGTGATTCTGTATTTAAGGGCAAATAAAAATGTACTGTCACAGTAAAACCACATTCACAGTCATATTGGCAGACACTATTGAAGGAATGCTGGTGAAAAACATGCAGGACAGAACAATTCAATTACAGTGACAAAACAGACAGTCAATATTTCATTTAGACTGGCGGTCTAAACAAAAAATACAGCACCTTAAGAAAAAATAAATTTAAAGGTGCACTGTGTAACTTTTCTGGTGGAGGGTCTGTCACCTGCTTCTCTCAATAGAGAGGTTTCCTGGAATGTTCCACAGTACAGAATCACACTTATTTATCTCTATGGGGACAGCAGGTCCAAGTTACAAGTCAGATCAGCGGGAAGGTGAGCCCACTCACAATGAGAATGCAAGCTTTTAGGTCAATGAAAAACCCACGTTATTGAGTTAATGGAAGACGGTTTTGCTTAATGCCGTAATGGGACCAGACAAAGGAATGTTATCTCCAAGGAGACAAGCAGATGGCAGAACTTCCACTAGAAAAGTTACACATTGCACCTTTAACAAGAGACGAAATGGCACCACAGATTCGTGTTGTCATGTTGTAAAGGCACAAATCATAATAGGGAGCGTACATGGTGGGATTTGTGAATAACATTACAAGTTTTTGATTACTGGTTACTGGTCTGTTGAATGGTTGTTACAATAGTGTATTTCTCTAGGTATGGTTGAGTACAGAGTTGATGAGAACACCCCTTTCTGTCCACAGTGAAGAATAGGATTTCACAATTACATTGAATTAAATATTTATCAATCTTAAAATTAAAATACTGCAATTTGGATTTAAGGCATACCACAGGTCTTCAGACAGTGCGGCTGTATTCCTTCGAAGCAAGAACAGTTTCTGTAGTTTGACCAAAAAAAAGGCTTGATTTGAATTCTCAGGCACTTCCAAAATCAGTTGTTGTTTTGTCCAGTTATTCGCTAACGTGTGGAGTTTGCCTGGACATGTTTTGGGATTTAAATCAGGGAAGGTCACTTGAGGAAGAAGAGGTCTCTGAAGAAAGAAATTACTCAGGCAAACCACTCAGTGCATCACAGCATCTCGCATCTTAACACTGCCATCCTCCATCCCAAAGTACGCCCGCTCAGCCATGCCCACGAACAGCCCAGTGTCCACAACTCCTGCAGGGGAGGCATAAGATTCAACCTTTTATAATCGATGACAAAGCCTCATCATCAAGGTCAAAAGTAAAGAAGAAGAGTTTAATTTGCACACATTACACAAAGTTGTCTACCTACATGAAACTGATGTAATGGCAGGTCACACAGCAAACAAGGAATATTGTTAAAAGAAACTTTGCAATTGTGGGATTCAAGAAAGCTTAAAAAAGCAGAAATGCAACAAATATTTAATACTTAAGACATATTTTCATACCTGGAATCATTTTGATGGCCGTGTTGACCTCTTTCCAGTTTTGAGCCTGTTCAAATTTCCAGTCCAAGATGAAGTTACTGTTGTCTGTCACAACTGGACCCTGACAAAGAGAAACAACAGTACTATGGTTCTACTCCTGTACTGTAGACAGACTGAACACCCTCTAGTGTTACAGTTTGGTATAACATGCATTGGAGATGTTCAGTAATAATACATCATTAACAATCCAATACTGATGTAAAAAAAAAGTATACAATGTTTCACATTAATACAACTTTTTCAACTGGCAATAAAACATCATCAGATATGTTACTCTACTGAAAGACTAAACACCACTCAGCTTTTTGAAATACTCTTCCTGAAAGTGTCCATGACCCCAAGCTAACACTGGTTTGTTATGTTTTTCCCTCATTCTTTTGAAAAGTCAATGCAAAGCTGTTAGCATTTCCGAGCCAATTGCGGCACTGGTGTTGTAAGTCAGTTATGACAAAACTTTTGAGCTTATAGGAAGCTCCTTCACTTACTGCTTTGCTGACAGCCATACGCAGGTTGACCTCACCCCCAAATCTCCGGGTTATAGTCCTGGAGACAGGGACGTACGCCATGGGGATGACCTCAATGGGAACACCCTTCTTCCACTGCTCTCCCAGAGCTTTGGAGTCCTTTCTGGAGAGAAAATGCATTAGTTTATGCTTGTTTATTGTGAGGATTATAATGTTTAAGACACAGAACAATATCTCAGCTCATCATAGTAAAACTGCAGTGGTAAACGTTGAATTCTACACAAACCTGAAGTCAGCAATAACCACAAAACGTTTTGCAGCACCAGCCACAATCTTCTCCTGAGTCAAACAGCCGCTGTGATGCAGAGATAATAAAATGTCTATCAGTAAGTCACACAGGATAAAGGACAAACAAACCTTAAAATGTTCAATAAACTCACCCTCCACCTTTGATCAGTGTGAGATCAGAGTCCACTTCGTCTGCCCCGTCAATCGCCACATCGAGCTGAAACAGAGACATCACTACAAAGTTAAAAAAGGACCTGAACAGTAGCAGCAGTCAAAAAGTAAAGGAGACGATTTAATGCTTGAATTTATTTGAAAAAAGACAAATAATTTCAAAGAAGTGTAAGAGCCATGAAGTCAATATTAGACTAATCCTCCATACCTCTGGATGCCGGTCCAGATCTGACAGAGTGAGGCCATGCTGCAAAATCAATTGACGAGCCTGTGGCAATCCAAAAGATTAAAACATGAAAAAAGCAACTGATGATATACGCATAAATCCTATAAAATAATTGAAGGATAATCCCAGGTTAAACGCTTTTAATCCATAAACAACAGACTGAACTCAAATTTACCTGGAATGAAGTGGGGACACAGATGATGTTGAGCTTCTCCTGACGCACTCTGTCCGCTGTCAAAAGGAAATTCAAAGCAAAGTCATTCATCAAGTTATCGCATCATCTGGATATTTTAAATAGGTCTGCGGGTTTCTACGGTTTTCTCTCAGGTTGACCACCTCAAAATGTAAAAAAAAAAAAAAAGAAAAAAGAATGAAACGTGGTTGAATTTGTTTGGATGAATATGGGAAATTTATGATAATAGATCATAACTGCAATAATATCATATTATTCTCAATTTCTATGAATTACATTACATTAGGTGTATTATCTAGATAAGAGGGACAAGGGCCTAAATAGTTGTGCAGGATAACCAAAAGAGGGACAAGTTGTCACCTTACTGCCCCCGGTAGCTTTCAGACCTTACCCAGTCTGTCCACAGCATAGACGATGGTGGAGCCACTGCCTACTCCCACCACCTGGTTATTCTGCAAGACAAAACACAGATCAGTAAAAAACAAGGTCAAAATCAGGAACAAACGATTTCAACAGTAAAGTCAGCTGGTCAAAACGTTTAACTAAATGTGTCTGGCTGTACACACCTGCTCTTTAAAACTACATATTTTGCTCATGATTCATTGTTCCAGGTACGCCTCTTCAAATAAAGGCTTTTAAACTAATACATGAATAGTGACTTGGCTTTTGTTTTTCTTGCAAATTTCTTGTTCCCAGTCACCAACGAACACCTTCAACAATACTGACTGACTGATGCACACATAAACACACTTCATGAGCATTTTAGATATATTTTTCTTTATTGAATGCCTCTTATCACTGCTATTTGGATTAAAAGTCGTTCAGCACGTGTAGCGCTATCAGTTTATTATTTACATGTCAAACAGTGCCCTTTTCTCACTCCTATGTGTGAACTACAACTTTAACTCACGTGGTTAGAACAACACTGCAGTATATTTAGTTTCTAAAGCCATGCACACTCTGTTTTTAGCCTGTGTCCAGAAGAAGCACATGACAGTTCAGTTCATGCCATGGTTTAAATATTAGATAAGTTAGCAAACACGCTACAGTCAATGGGAGCTAACAGTTAGCTTACACGCATCACAAGTAGCAAAACAAATAGTCAGCGCACTGTAATTTCTAAATAAGCGAATACATGCAGTGAAGTAGGATGATTTGGTGCATAAAAGTGATCTTGCTCGTACCTGTACATGGTTATCCACAGCAGCGTACGCGGCCAGTTTCTTCGCCTCCTCTGCCATGATGCTAGCGGCTCTGTGGGGCTGGAGACACGCGTGTTTTACGGAGGCTGAGGCGGACAGGAAACCAGCGAGGACTTTAGCGCGAGAGATCCACCCCCCAAAACTCATGACCCGGCCCAGGGACACCACAGGACCGCGGGTGGGATCAGCCCTATCCGCCCAGAGAAGCCTGAAGAGCGGCTGTAGACGGAGCAAAGTCCGCCCCTGCTGCGCTACGCACGTCCACGTGTGTCATCTCCCGTCTGCAGGAAAAGATCATGTGCAGCCTCAGCCGGGAACTAACATTCCCCTCCACGTTCTTTAAGTTAAAGCTGCACCATGTCACTTTTCATGTGGCGGGTCCACCACCTGCTTGTCTCCACGGAGACGTTATTGCTTTGCCTGAAATGTTTCATAGTATGGCATTAAACTCATTAATATGGAATTAGGTGTTATTATGCTCAGTAAACCTCGAAAAACATGCATAGTGAGTGGCATAATCTCTGCATATAGATGATCTCTAATTTGGCCTGGTCTTGTTTCAAGACAATAATGCCATACTGTGGAACATTCCAGGCACCTCAGTAACGTCTTATAAATGAACAAGGGGCAGACAACCCACCAGAAAAGTTACATAATGAAAAATCAGTTTAACACAAGGCACATAATTAACATAATCATATTAAGTTAAAATAATGCCACACATTAAACTAAATTATTTTGTGATAAACTTGACAGTTTCTTAACATTTTGAAGCCCAATAGACTTTTATGTTAGGGTTAGCGCCTCAAAGACACCTTCTTATGCTTCTAATAATTTTTGTCAAATATAACATTTGACTGCTCATTTTCATGTTTTCCCTTCTAACAGAAATAACTGAAAAAACATATCAGGACAACATAATGCCACTACTATTTTTTTATTTGGCAAACAGCTTGAGATAATCTCTCTTTTTCAGTGAACAGTATATATTTATATATACTATAGGAAACCAACACATTCTTTTTAATACCCATTTTCTCATTTTTACATCTTACAGCTTACAAATATAGCTGATCTTTTTGACAAAATTACAGATTCTGTTGACACCTAAATTAGTATGCTATATAAAAATCCACACATCTTACATTCATGATTAGAAAAAGTAGGCTATTATATGAAATTGGGGGAAACTGAAAAGAAACAAAACATCACAATTTTCAAACAATTTTTAAAGTTTTGAGGTTCGGAGAGAGGCAAAAGGAGCAGTGCTGTGATGCCATCCAAAGTTTAGTCCTCTGAGTGTTTCTGCCGTATTGTAAAACTGTCAGTAGAGATATCAAGGAACAACAATACCGCCACATAAGAATAAAAATGATTGGTCCATAGATTTAAACTTCTCGCCATGGATTATTTAACCAAGAAAGTCGATTAAAAACTAAACCACTGCGTTGCAAACTGTACATTACTGTATCACTCCATACCTCGCAATCTTCTCTCTCCAAGTGCTGTCTATAAGGCTTAGTCCAAAGATTATGCAAATGCAGAGCTGAGCAGTGCTGTCCCTTTTTCTGCTTTATCTTCAGCTCAAATTGGACATCTTTTTCCTCACATCTGTAAGACAACAGTGCTGCATGAGGGAGCTGCCATAGGGAGACTGGGAAAGCAAATACTCAAGGTTAGACTGGCAACGTCACCGCAGCATCTTTTTGAGGGAAACAAGTCTTCAAAGCTACAAGTAAGCTAGTTCAAAGATGATAATGTGACTTGGTTTTGTATTGTGAAGATAGAAGGAATGGTAGAGTAGTCAGCCATCTTTCCTGTCAGTGATCATAAGGTTGTAGGTACAATTTCTAGCTAACTACTTTCTCAGTATGTGCAGCAGTGCTCTGTGCTGCTGTAAGCTGTTCAAATCAATGATATCACAATAGAAAAACTTTAATCTAAATTTTTATACTAAAGAAAAGTACAAATTTCTATTATATTGCTATTATACTGTCTATTATATAACACTCTTTTTATGTGTTTTTACCCAAAATAATTGTAATTGCTTATTAAAATGGTGAGCATACAAAAAGTATTCAGAAAATGTCCAAATTTTTCTATTTGTGTATTTTTTCAGTGTCATCCCAATGAGTTATGTAGTTTCTATACAGTTCGAAGACATGTCTAAACTAAAACTTGCTACTAGTTGCCCTTTATCCTTGCTGTATCTCTTAAGGCCCACAGGTGCTAGGCCAACCACTTCCATTCCCAAAGTGACATAGACATAACACAGACAGAACGAATAAAGTCTCAGATGTAGTGGAAGACACAATTGTTTTCCCCAAAAAGGTTTGTAGCGATGTGCAGCTGTTTTTGAAGGACGTTGGGCCAATCTAACCTTTTGTCTGGCACTGTGAATGCCAAAAATCTTTTGATGCAACATCTGACTCAGAGGAGAGTTGAACCCACATGGATAGACTAAAAAGTTGTTCAAAAATACTTTGCTTGGCTGATGGGTCGCTGGGAAAGGGTCACCCGTCAGTGAAGTGCGTTGGTATACACAGTATTGCTGAATATTGAGCGTTGCATTTGTTTTTTCTGAGAAGTTGCTTGCTACATGTCCATTGGCATCGCATTGTATTAAAAAACCCAGACAAGTCATGCTGGAAGCAAACTGCTGCGTAGGATTTTTCTATTTTTTGTCTTCTCGAAGATATTAGTGGTCAAGAGGAGGCCTGTGTTGGATTAGTACATGAAAACATTTGCAAGCATTTATCTAATCAAAACACCAAATAGAAAACATTACCAGATTAGTCTAAACTCTTTAACACTTTGTTCACAAAAATAACAAAATAAGCATTTGGTCAATAATTCAAAACCTGTTAATTTTAATATGTTTTACACACCTTTAACATTTTTTTGTTCCCAAAACTGAAGGGCAGATGACATAACATGAAAAACCAGGGAAAGACAGACACTCAAAATACATTAAACTATGGACAAATAGAAAAAGTAATCTCTGTCCAACAACAACATTGCCTTTAAAGATAAAATAAATATTTCTATCTCAATCCAACCTAAAATAGTTTGTCATATTGCAATAATATACTCTATATATTTATAATTTGTTAAAGATTTAATAATAACTATATGTTTTGGTTTGTGCTGTCTGTCTAAATAATTACATCTAGATAATATATTGTATGTGTGGAATGTATCAGGTAAATTCCACCTTAAAAATGAGGTTCAGTGGCAGTGGACAATCTCCTCCCTGTCCAATACTGACTTCGTTGGAATGACTTACCTAAACAGACATCAGCATCCTTCACAGCTAAAAGGTGGAGGAATCTCAATTTAACACTGAACAATGATAGAAATATAAAAGATTGTTTCGCGTCCTCACTCTGATCAGGCCGTGCAAGTATTTTCTAATGGACCAGTGTAAAAACGCAGAGTGCAAAGTGTCGAAAAGAAAAAAAGCTTATTGATTCTTACATTGTACCCACTGCACCTGTTTTCAAAGCTTCCTGACAGCATTCTGGACTTGCACGGCCTGGGGTGAGTACTGGGCGGGTGAGCGAGTGTAAAATGTAGCATATAAAGTAAGGAGTGAAAGAGGAGCATGTAGGTATATGGCACTGAAGGAGCAGACGGTCAAACACAGGTGAAACTGGGAGGTGCCTCCGATTGTGTCTTTCTGTTTGACTCAGCTCTCATTTCCAGTGCTTCACCTGTAGAATGTTCTTTATCAAAAATCTAAACAGTCGATGTTTCCTTTTTGCTTCCGTAACAGTTTTGCATTGAAAAGTGTCTTTTTTAAATCCTCATTTTGTTTTTTTGTTTTTCCACAGCGGTCCCTCTGAGCAGCTACATGTGCTGAGCATCCATTATGTCCAAGTATTTGGCCTCAATGATATGAGGAAGAACATTGTTCCTGCACAAAAAAAGAGACAAAAGTCACAAAAGATTCAACATCTCAGCTGCACATCAACAAGTACACTTCACCACCTTGTCTAGATAGAGTGCTTCTTTGTGTGAAAGTTTCCCCAAGCAGTGAATACAGTTTATAAAGTTTTAAAAATATACTATTATTTATTGAACATTTTCCACTGGTCTGACACTGCAGTTTGTGAATTATTCCAGTGTGCATCTGCAGAGACTCTTCCTCGCTCATGAAGTTGGTCAAATTTAACAAAGAATATCAACATAAAGTTTGAGGAAAGGTCGTGTAAACTAGCCCTGAATATTCTGCACAGCTGAAGCACCACTGAAATCTAAAGGACAGCATTAGCTATGAATGGGTGCAGGGCTGAGTATTTGTCCAACCAGGAACATTGTGTCCTATTGTTAATTAAGTTATTTACTTGATAAGTTTACACCATATTCTGATAAAAGGAACATAATGTTCTTTTAAATTTTAAATAAGACCTATTATGCTTGAGCCTGCTATATAGATAAAATCTATGACACCCGTGGATCATTATGTTATAATTTTGGATAAAATGACTATACAATGCTGCCAAATCCTACATGTATCACCCATTAAGAAAATCAAATTGGAGACTGAAGTACGAGAGCAGTGGACGTATGCCAGTGGCAGTGAAAACAGGAACTGATCAGCAATATAGCGATTAAAGATTGCTTAAACATACACAAAGCACTCTAAATAAAATTTTGAGTGAGTAAATAGTGAGGGGATACAACTATATCATGGATAAAAGCACTGAAAAGTTTAGTTTTGCATAATAGGTCTGATTTAAGTAAACTGTACTGTCAGATGTAGGAAGTTTAACCCTATATTGTACTAACATTAATGTTCCCAAATAAAACACATTCTTAGTAAGTCTACCTGGATGTCCATTTGTCACGTTGCATCTAAACTTGATGATAAATAAACAAAACAGGCTCAGACATGTACAGGTTGCTACTGCTGAGCCTAATGTAATGTATGCATGGGCCCAGGGGAAGGTGAGGTTGAGTCTGGTGGAGGTGGTACCTGATTGGGATTAGCAGGATCATGACCAGAGGGAAGATCATTTTCATGTACGGGATGGGGTACATGCCGAACGTGCACAGTACCAGCAGCTGCATCATCTGGAGGAAGGTGAAGTAGTGGATCTTCCTCTGGGGCACTTTGCGGATGTAGTGGGTGGGAGGGTACGACGTCTGCACACGGGAGAGGATCAGAACAGATTAAAAACTCAATCCGTTTTCTCACAGTCAAGCCTTACAGACAGTGCCCAGGGGAAAGGCTACTCACACAGGGATAACCATAAGGGCAGACTGCATCTTTTCAATAAAACAGTTGGCCTGGAATTCAATATTCATTTTTTCCCCTCAGTGGGTGTATTTTATCGAATGAGGAGGTGTTTGCTGTTTCAAGGTAAACTGAGCTATACCCATGTAGTTATTTTCTTTTATAGACTGAAGTTGCCTGAGCGATTCTATGGACAAAAAGGCCAGACAGTACAGTATATTTAAACACACATTCTCTGTGAATCATGCAAAAAATAATATAAGAATTGTTTAGCATTGGGCTTGAAATTCAATGAGTTAATTTTACTGAGAGGTACTGTTACGGTTTCAAGGGTGCCATGTGGTGAGCAGATTTCTAGTAAGAATAACTGTAGATGTCCTTAATACAATTTGCTGGGGACAATAAGATCCATGACACCAATCAATATGTGCTGTGCTAAGACAGAATGAGCCCCAAGTTGAAATTAAATTCTTGTGTTGAAAGGACTTCAAATAGTCATTATATCTAAACGGGGGTCTTCTGTAGCTTTTTCCAACATTACAAAGTCATAAAATGTTAAATAAACAGTTTCACGGACAAGACCTTTGCTGCTAACAGAAGCTACGAGCATTGACGACAACTCGACCTTCAGCTGATGGCAAATCTGTTTCATTAACCAATAAAAAAGAGACACAGGAGACAGTAATTTACTACTTCTCGTAAATAATCAATAAGTGCCCAAGAGGGTGCATGTTAGGTGGTGAAGCATGTCCTACTAAAAATGAAAAGATTTACTACATTTATTGATAATTATGACATTGTATTTGACTTTGTATTTACATTTGAGCTACAATTGGAAAATAAGCAACATGAATGTAAAGTGTACAAAAAGTCCTTGCTACACAAAACAATGTAATCTGTCATTTGTCCAGGAGTGGTTCAATTTAGAGGCAGTTTCAGTGGTGATCATCTGAACATTGTTTTGCTATAGGAATTAAAGGTCCCGTATAACACTTTTTTGTTTTGTTTCATTCATACTTTTAACACATAAATCCTGCACATTTAGGCTGAGTTCTTCTCTCAAATGGAAAAACACTCTGTTCCACCTTGTGATGTCATGTGGTACTACAGGTGCACAACTGTGTTTTTAAACTTCATACACCTTCACTAGAATCATTTGGATGATTTCAGCCTTGGACTTGCCCATTTCTACTGAACTCAAGGTAAAATGTAGCTGATAACTTGAAAACTACTACTAAATGACATCACAAGATAGAAAAGAGCATTTTGAGCTTGGAGATGTAGACAGAATAATAATAAAGTGTTACTCAAACATGTGTGAATTTAACAAAACACAACTCCAGGAATGTTTTTGATGAGGTAACAACATTATAGCATGGGTTAGAACTCACAAGAATCAATTTTGTGTAATATAGGACCTTTAAGATTAGGATTCTACTATATTGTAACTAAATGAAGAAAATAAATATTTATTTATTACAGAAGACAATATTAACTCAGCTGTAACACTAAAATCTGAACACAGCTCCAGACTATCATGTCCCCAAAATTCATCTCACTTATAACTTATTTTAATAATAATAATGGATCTGATTTATATAACGCTCATTTGGACACTTAAAGATGGTTTACAGGTCATTAAACTTTAACTTTCACACTCTTTCAATTACAATATGTAGTAGGTAAATGGCATGTGATTCAAAGTGAGTTACATTTATGCTGCTGTCTGATTCTCTGCTGAGTTTCTTACAGTTCCCTCTCACTGACATTTGGGGGTGCTAGTGTGTGGCTAGAGGAAACAGAGAGTGATGTTACCTTTGAGTGAAGGTGAAATCGGACACAGAATATGATACAGAACTACAGGCTTCAAACAGTCTCTCTTCAAAATATGCATTTTAGTGAGGGGCATACCCAATTAAAATGACCAATGTCGATGATGTGGCATTAATTAAATCCTCTCCTGATTAACACACTATCCACATAAGATTATAACATGTCTATACTTAACACATATTACACTATAAGAGCATTGGATACAGTTCGCGGTTTACACTAGTGAGAAGAACAAAGCAGGCCACTAGAGTCTTACTTTTCTTTGGAGCACGATTCTTAAATTCACCTTGTCATGAAACTGAACTTTAGAAAAATGCAAATGTGGTGTCACGACTCACACCAAGGTTACGTCCACACACTCACACGCCACACCTCGGGTAACCTTTTAACATTTTCACCCACTTAATATTCTTGTCTCAATATCTTGCAAAAACACGAGGTATAAATTACCTAGATAAGGACAGTTAAGCTGCTCTAGTCTAGCCACTTTCCATGCCGTTAGTACAGATCCAAGTATGTGCATTTTCACTTCTTTAAGTAACGCTGACGCCCAAACTGTCCTGGATCAATCATTGCATACATGTATAGCCCCTTTATGTTTTGTTATCTTTCAATATTTCACTGACCTGGTGAAGCCAATCATGTTTTAGGTTCATGTGGAAAGTGTTTTGATTTTAAGGGGGTAAACCATCTAAACAGACATTATGTAATGTATTGTAAGATTATGCTACTTGCTAGTCTCTATGGAGATGTACTTGCTTTGGTTGAAATGTTCTAGAAGATGGTGTAAAATGTATCCATCTTTAAAAATCCTAAATAACACAAAATTTACTCTTGTGAGCTTTAAGCCATGTTAGAATGATTTTACCACCTCAAAAACATTCCTGCAGTTGTGTTTTGTTTCATTCACACATGTTTGAGTAAGCTTGTATTATTAGTCTGTCTACATCTCCAAATCTCAAAACGCTGTCAAGATAACAGCTATCTTCTACCTTTAATTAGATAGAGATTGAAGGTTGGAAATTCCAGGTCAGAAATCATCCAAATGATTCTAGCACAGGTGTATGGAGTTTAAAAACACAGCGGACACATGACATCACAAGGTGTGTTTTCTATTTGAGAGAAGAGAAGAGCTTAAATATGCAGGGTTTGTGTGTTAAACATGTGAATGGAACAAAATGCAACTCCAGGTATGTTTGTGAAACATTAGAAAGAAACATTATAACAGATCAGAAAATGATGTAATATGGGGTCTTTAAAAGAAATCCACCCTGAACCTTTGAACTTTGAACCATCAGTGTTAACTACGGGATGGGCATTCGATGAAATTTTCTTAATCGATCGTCGGAAGAATTAACGATCGATTATCGATTAATCATTAACGTTTTTTATATTAAAATGATCATCATTATTATTACTATCTGCACTGCTAATCTGCATAAATAAATTCAACTTTACGACATATAAACCGTAACGACTCTAGAGCCACATCAATCCGTTTGACATTATAATGTGTTTAATTCAGTTTTGCGCAACTCTCACAGAAGCGAAACTTAAAACTGCATCGCTAATTTGCATAAACTAAGCGAAGATAAAACTACAGCTCTTGTGTCGCTGATGCGGTCAATTTCTGTCGGATTAAAAGACATGATTCAGTGGAATACAGGTTAGTGTGACCATATTTGCGTTTGTCAAAACCAGGACACTGTATGGGGGGTGGGAGGTTGGGACTCGTCATCGACATTGCGCAACTTTCACCTGGTAAAACTTTTTCCCACTGGACACCGAAACATATGTTCCTGCTTTGTACACTGTGCACAAGGACTCCCACTTGTCCCGAACGCAACAGAAAGCGTGGAATTTCTTGTACAAATCATCGTTAAATACACATTTGTGCTTCGGCACGCTGCAGGCTGACCTACTGTTTGTGTTTGCTCGCTCCTTCTGAGTGCAGAGAGCTACATGTACGGACCCCTGTTTGGTCACACTACGCACAGCAACCTACATTCGGTATGTCGATTAAAATTAACGTAATCGATGAAATTCTTAATGATCAATTATCGATTAATCGATTAATCATGCCCATCCCTAGTGTTAACTGACTATACCAGTATGACAGTTTAAGGTTAGATAGACAGTCTTACCTGCTCCTTGAGGAGCAGAGCCATGCGGTCACACATCTGGTTTCCGTCGATGGAGGTGAGGGCGATGTAGAGGAAGAGCCCGTACAGGACGGGTTTGGGGATCCACTGCAGGGGGACGGGCAGAAGCAGCACCGAAACACCAATGAAGATGTTTGCAGCAAGAGACGTCAGCCGGGTCTCCTTCACCTGGACAATACTGACCACAAACACATACAAGTCAATGAGGGATAGCAAGCAATAATGTTGTTTTGCTATTATCATTATTATTATTGAGAGCAAATATGGCACTGAGATCTCATATTATTGGATTGGGAATTTTTTTTTACGTATCTGTACTATATGTTAATGGGATCAATAGCAGCATCACTATTGCTATTACCAAACAAAAAAATTATGATAAGTACTGACTAGGGTTGCATGATTATGGAAAATTATCTAATTGCAATATTTGGAATAAGTATTACAATTACGATTAGATCAAGTTCAAAATACCTCATTGATTGGTTAATTGTGAAGTCCCTGTATTGATCATCAAAAATCTTGAGTGGAGAATCTCTAACAGTACATGGTTGCTTAAATTCTGTTTTGTGCATGTGCTACCGAGTGTAAAACTTAACTTTGAGCTCTATGTATTATTTTTTTTAATGCAATTATAAAAAAATTCCACTATTTTTTAGATTACCTCCAGAGTGGTTTGAAAAGCTCTATTAGCTGTCAGTAATAATATAGGATTGAAGTAATGACCACTCAGTACTCCTATTTTGGGAAGTGAAATATATTTATGGCTACTCTGCCCTCCAATGATGACAAGAGAACTGACTATAACTGAGAATAAATATAATATCGTATAAGATAGTTCTTGAAAGTAATCAAAGGCTTTTCTGTTCAAATTAAAGTTGCTTGTCTACTTGAACTTGTGATCACATGCCTCATTATGTAAGTCCTCCATCAGTTATATGTTTGGTGCTTTTAGCTGTAAAGAAGAAAATTAGGTCACAGTGAGAATTTATCTTAATCAAAAGTACGGTTTCCATCCACTTAAGGCTGATCAGGGGTTGCTGAGAGGTGAGGACAGGAGAAGACTAGCAAAAGCATGTATTAATATTTACACTTTGTATTCAGGCAGAGAATTTGAGTCCTGCTCTTGCATGTTTAAAGCCTCAGGAAATTTGGCTTGAAATTCTAATGTATTTCTGACATAAAACTGGTTTGTTCAGATAATGTAAAGATAACACTGAACTGAATATAAAGGCATCTAATTGGCTGTGCTCAAATAAAGCCTCTGTACACAATGGTAGAAAGTCAGTGGATTCTTCAAGGGCACATAGGTGGAAAGGGGAGGCTTCAATGATACTAATTACATTATACCTTAGATACATATGTTTCTTTCAATGAGCAGTGAGCACAGTATTATTGTCTATAATTGAATAATTATAAAAAACAGAATAGTTTCTTGGATTAGTTTGCTTTAAAGAGTCAAATCATAACGGTAGCATGAGCGGGAGAAAACAAAGATTTACATTTGGCATTATTTAAAGGGCCTGTCCCAGATTTTTTTTTACCCCATGTATTTGAGCAAAATTTGCCCTAATACAGATATATTCCATAAGCAGGGACAAAATACATCTGCTGCAAGCATTCTGCATTAAATTAGAATGCATTTTATTGACCCATAATCAGGAAGTATGTGTTAGCATGCTACTTGTTAGCTTTACCGTAATAACAAAACTCCATACTGGTCCCTGAGAGTTGTGAAAAGTGCTTATAAAGTAATTTTGATAAATAAGGATGCCCAAAATGCATAAAGTAAATGCAAACTGCAAACAAATGAACTAGTTCTGTTTTTGATATTTAAAAAAAAAAATCTGGTACATAGCCTTTGAGTTGGACTGTTAGAAGTGGTCTCCCATTAATCCTTGACTTGATAAATATATTTGTCTGTTTCAAACTAACATGTAGATAAGCCTCTTCATTACACATTATGAGGATGTTGTGGATTTGTTTTTAGTATTCTAACTCTGTTGGACAGTGTCATATTCTTCCATGTAAAACACCACTTTCTCCCTCTGTGTCTTGAGTCATTTCTAATAAACAATCTGAGAGGGGAAATTACTTTTTGGTTCAACAAACAGCATTAAAAATCACAGCGAGTTGCAGCTTGGAGTTAATTTCTTCCCAAATCTGAATACACATTGGGGTGAATAAATATCCAACATTCCCAATACAGAGGAAATATGTGTATCATAAGTTATGTTAAACACTCCTTTTGTCCTATTCATGGCACTTTGCACAGACAAAAGGTATTATAGAAAAATTGAATCTTGTGAGCATTAAGACATGTTATAATTCTGATATCTGCTCAAAAACATACCTAGAGCTGTGTTTTGTTTCATTCACATATGTTTGACCCTTTTATTCGTTTGGCTATACCTACAAAGCTCAAAATTCTTTGTTCCACCTTGTGATGTCATGTAGTGGTAGTTTTCAAGTTAACAGCTCCTTTTACCTTTAGTTCAGTAGGGATGGGCAATTCCAGAGCTAATATTATCCAAAGGATTCTAGTGAAGGTGTATGGAGTTTAAAAACACAGTCGAGTACTTCCTGTATCACCACATGATATCACAGTGGAAGAGAGTGTTTTCTGTTTGAGAGAAAGAATTCAGCCTTAATGTGCAGGTTTTGTGTGTTAAACATCTGTGAATGAAACAGAAGACAACTCCAGAAAACAACATTATAACATAGATCAGAAAATAGTGTAATATGGGCCCTTTAAACACTGTATAGCGTTTTTTATTTGCTCTATTCATGCGCAGATTAATCCTGCCTGAATGCTAACTAGATTTCTGCACATGGCACATGGCTGCAGTGATAAGACCAATCCTCTCATCTCCTCTGAGCTCCTTCACCTCTTCCCCCCGCAGAGAAAATGCTTAGTTACACAGTAATCATGCAATCAGTGAGGAGCAGGATACAGTAGTCTGCAACACAAAATTACAGTGGCTTCACACTCCAAAGACGACCTTTAATTGAGCGTTTGATTAGCGGCACATCGATGGGAGGTGTCACTCACGTCTCGTAGAGGTGTCCGCCTTCAACACGCTGCTCCACGAAGGCCAACTGCCGCACGTGCAGTGTGGAGTGAGGGAACGCCGCGTGCATCCACGGTAACCCCATCACCGACATCAGGATGTTAATGAGGCCGGAGAGCATCAGGTCCCAGTGGTAGGCTGTGCCCTTCAGCAGCCTGTGGACAGACACTCTGTTAGAATGTACAGACAAACTACCATACAAATACACAAAGACAAGTGTACATATCTACCCATGATTATACAGTCCTCTCATTTGTTACACTTGACCATAGACTCTATAAAGAAGTGAATTAAAGGACATCACCCACAGGAATGAATAAAAACACCAGGATCATGCAGAGCAGTTTAATACAAACATTTTAAAACCAAAATGACGAGGTTCACTGCAGCAGTTACAAAAAGAGAAGGGTGACAGTTTTTCAGTGTAAAGTCAATTGGAGCCAATGGAGCCAGAGACACCCCCATGCCCACTTTCCACTTTCTTTCTCTGCAACTAGCGGGTTAGCTATGTCCATTTATATACACAGCCAATAACACTGCCAAATTTACAAAAAACATGCTTATTGTTTTTAATACATAGTCAACTGTGGAGTATGTGTAATCACTTAAAATACAGTGATAAAAACCAAATCAAATCATCTCATTCTTGTGCTGATCTCCTATTTTGATCAAATTGCCACATTGTGACTCACTAATAATTCTCTTGAATACAGCTCTATGCTCAAACAAAGATCCTTTTTCCTGCCCAGTCCTCTGATTGATCAGCCTCAGGAATAAATGTGAATGAGTGAGAGGTGAGTGTCCAAACTTTTCTCAACAAATGCCGAAGAGAACCATAGACTGGTGGTCAGTGCAGTGAATAATTAAAATGTGCATTTTATTATAACAGGTCAAAATGTGCCACCAGACCTATGTTTAGCTCTTCAAAATCACACACCAAAAATTTCATACTGGCTTTATCAAGGTAGAGTTTCAAAAACTTGCAGTAAAAAGTTCTACTAAGGTAATATGAGTCAATTCACCTGGAAGTCTGAGGGCCAATAAAAATTGGTCTGATGACCACATTTAGCTCCCAGGCCATAGTTTGGGCATGCCTGATTATAACCAATTGCAATGAAATGTAAAAATTTAGGAGAAGAAGATAATGAGTCACCTCTTCAAGCCAATATAAAAATACTGACTGTACATAAATCTTGATGAAACTGAAATTGTGATCTGGCTGCAGGACAAATGTGGTATTAATATTTTGGCATATCGCCCATCCTTATTTAAAAGTACTACTGGTTCCCAACAATTTAAGTTTTTTTTTTGTAGCTTAAACAGTTGAGATGAGAGGCCAGTGTCTACAATATTACATTTGAGACACTGCTAATGACTCTATTTTATGTCAATGCAAAGATTTAATGAGGCGAAAAAGACTTGAAACATTTTATGAAAAGATAAAACATGAAATATTACCTACATCAATTCCTCAATAAAATGATCTCAGATACAGTGCAGCTCTATGCTACAGTGGCTGCAGAAGCTTTGATGTTGAATGTGGGAATGCAGAAGGATCAAAACATCACCCAGAGACATGACCACGAGACAAGGGGCAGAGAGACAGATTTACATACACTACACTCATATCTCACACTGAGCTTGTGTCGTTCATGGTTAAACACAAATGTAAAGGGCAGAATGCTCCTAAGGTCAGTTTTGCCCTTCATCATGAGAGCTGAAGGCTTTCACTGCTCACTGTCTCACCATTTAACATGAGAAAATTCATGTTTCAGACCCATACATCATGTGAATACAATAAAGACAGTCCTTTAGCTTGATGCTCTAGACATGTTTTTGCTTACGCTATTTCCACGCTGTATGTCAACTCAAAGCTTTTAACATTACTGAGTCACTTGCCCTTGACTGTGACATTCAAACACACAGAGTTGCAATGCAGTGTGCGCAAGTCTGTTTTCATTGTATATTGTGATTATGTGAAAAATAACATGGCAATATATTCTAAATAGGCTTCTTCTCAATGTCTCAGTTTGAACTCTTTATTCGTAATGAGGTTGCAGAGTTATAAATTATACAAAAGCTGACGATAATGATGTTTTTATGATACAACAACAAAAGGCCTACTCAAGACAATTACCTGCAGTGCATCACTGTCTATGCAAAGAAAGTGTCTCATTATTTGAGCAAAGCCGTGTTCATTTATTTTCCTGATGGGTAAATTAGTTTAAAAAGTAAATAATTTAGTACGGTAACTAAAGGGCAGCAAAAGGTAGAGCCATTTGCCCACTGATCAGAAGGTTAGTTGATTAATCCTCGCTTCCAACTCAGTACAATACAGTGTAAGAGTGTATTGTTATTGTGTCCTTGGGCAAGAAACACCCAAATGTGACCCCATAATGTGATTGTAATTTAAAAAAACATCAATTATTTCTTATAGATCTCCATTGTGATTCCCAAATTTATTTCCATACTGTAGAATAATCAAGGCAAAACAGTAATAGCTCCATGAAGACAAATGGCAGCTCTGTGACACTCCACCACAAAATGTACAAAATGCATCTGTAACAATATTGTTTATATAAAATAAAAAATAAATAAAAAATACAGACAATAAATTATACAAAAATAAAATGTCATATGGCAATGTCTTTGTCAAATATGTTCTGGAAATCTGTTCTCATTGTGGAAGACTGAATTAAAATACTCCAAATTACAGTTTACTTTGTTTTAATCTGATAGTATTTCCATGGCGATATTTTGACATCTTTAAGCTGAGGCAAGAGCACTGACATAAATAGCCTGAAGTGTTTGCAGCTGCAGCCATTTTCTTGGTGACATACAATTGACAAACTGTGAAGGTTAAAGACAAGCAAACTGTATTATTGATACAACCCCAGTGCAGCGGGCTTTGCATTTCAACTGAACAGATCAATAACATGGCCACAAAATGATGATTCTACTTCTTATTATAAACTGACATCCAATTAAATTTTCAGTCATAAATCTAGATAATAAGTGTCCTTCTTTATGGAGTTTAGCTGGGGCTGTCGGTGGGTGAAAAATACGCTTTAAAGGAGTTTGGAAAATGTAAAATCAGAACAAGAGGGCACAAGTTCAGCAGCTTGTTTTAGCTGTGAGCCATCGCCTAGAGCTCCCTGACTGTGACAATTTAACTCACATGTCAAATTTATGGTTGACTTAATCAGCTTTCCTCAAACAAACAAGCACATATACTGAGGATGTAGTCAGTATCAGTGTATAGTGTGTATGGTGTGGCCAGAGGATACTTAGAGCCCTTTTGAAGCGTCAGAATCAGAATATATCACTAATTAAACCCAAACACTCTGAAAATGCTTATCTCGTTGTTTAAATTCCTGGTCGCGTCTCATTATCTCCATCCTATGCTCAGAAAACAGAGACTTCAGCTGCTGGTTCACACAAAGGTATTTCTCTGGAGCAGTCATTACCAGACCTGGTATATGTAGAAACTTAGAATTGTTAGTAGGGATGCAACGATATCCAAATCTCTCAGTACAATATTTTCACAATATACATTTCACGGTACCATATTTATTCCGCTATTTTGTAGAGTCTAACAAAACAGTGAATATGCTACTTTTTCCTCTTAAAATGCCTTGACAAGACTTAATCCATAGAACTAAGATTTAAGAGTGCTTATAATATTTATTTCTTCATGTAGTCTGCACTGAATCAGAGCAATGGATCATGGTTCATGTAGTTCCCTCTGTTTATTTAAGCTATTGCTGTACCAAAACCATTCATTTAAGCAAAGACACTTTGATATATTATGATGGTCCACGATATTATTGTGAAACCTCTGACTATATGGTATCACGATATTTTGGTTACTGTTACATCCCTAATTGTTTGATCGTCAAAAATATTCCAATCGAATTAGAAGTATTCATTTAGCAAGACTCAAGTAGAATAAAAATAAAATAAAAATTATTACAAAGACAACTTGTATAAAGAAGTTTTAACATGACCGATCTGCAAGACCAAAAAAAAAAATGCATTTTAATAGAGGGCTGTTGTAAAAAGACAGGGCTGTACTTGGTTAATAAAGCAAAGATAAGTGTTTTATGGGCTTGTCACCTCATCATAATGAAAGAAGGGCACTAGTGTAGTTAGATACAGAGTTATTCTCAACACAGTCATGACTGAAATGTACCGGGATGGGGCAAGAGTTCAGAAAAATTGCTGTTGAGTTACATTTCTTGAGCTGCTATACAGTAGTTCCAAAAAAGCAGTGCTACACTACAACAAAATCATATAATTTATTTTTAAACTATGTAAAAATCCCATTTAACATCGTTCTCGTAGACCCAATCTTGTATCTCATCTCATCTTGTGAAAACTGTATCTCTTCCCACCCCCTAAATCTATCTAATTTTGAGTAGAGTAATGTTTGTATATTGAGATCTTTACCTGTTTTCTGGTGCATTTGTCAGTGACACTACAATGTTCTGGTCGATGAAGATGAGCAGTGCCAGCAGAAAGCCGAGCCCCATGGCGCTGACTACGTTGAGTGCCGACAGACGTTCAAAAGGAGCCACGTTGAAGATCGGCCGGTTGTGAACTTTAAAAACAGGAACTGTTCAGAGGAGAGAATAAAAATCAAAACCTAGTAGATGTACTCATTTCTATTTCTTGTACAACATAGTCAATATACAAGTTGTTATCAGATGGTGTAGGTAAAACAGCTACTACTTTTTGCCAATTATCTTGACAGTCTCATTAGAAGGAAATTACACTAACCAGTTAAAAAAAACACTAATGCATACATGCTTTTGGTTACCTGGTTTGAGTAAGTATATGTGGATACTGAAGATGACTTTTTTTTTTTCACAATTGGCTGTGGTTGGATGTTCAAAACATTTGACAGAGATGTAAGATGTCTAATCCCAGAAACACCCCATTCAAACAGAGACTACAAGGGGCTGAATTACCAGGATATTCCTTTGGGTGGCAAGGGGCAACGATACAGTTAACAGTCAAATGATTTTATGAAGGAGTTCAAAATGGATTTAGTTTTATGATAATTAAAAGTCCGCTTCCACTTTGTTAGCACTTTTTGTTATTAACAGTTCTATTATAACTATATGTACTACACATATACTATATATGGTTAGGGTTAGGGTTATGGTATTCCAATCCAAAACACCAAATGCCCGACCATAAATGTCCTTTCTGCTCTGAGCAATCTGAGCAAGTAATCTAAAACTAATCAAACTCAATCTTGTGTAATAACTTGTGCTTTGAAAACATCTATCCTCTCAAATAAGACAGTGTATTTTTAGTCCAAATTTCAGCCTGCATCTCCTCAGACGCTACAAATTGGTTGCATTTGGTTACATTTAGTGAGCAATGATTACAATACAATAATAGCACTATTGACTTATTCTCTCTGGAGGTAGAGAAGAAGAAAATTGGCTCGGCCCTCGAATTTAGATTCACTTGAGGCTTTGGCACTGGCTCCCTGTGCTTCCCGGTCCATCCCAGGAGAACAGCTGCTGCCTTGGCAACGATGAATGGTGTCTTGAATTTACGCTAAACAATAAGGGAATAAATGCTGCACATCTCCCCCTGCTTTGGGCATTGATTAACAAACAGTAGAAAGAACACAGTCACTGTCTAGGGCTGTCCTCTGTGCTTGAAAGTATCAGACACTGAATCTAAACCATTTTAGGATTTTCAGTTGATAAGATTGGGAAGTTAAAATATTGACGACATGGAGTAATAACATTTTAGAATCAGATTTTTTACTTAAAATTGATTCCTTTTGCCTCTTCATAAAAGGGGGTTAGATGGGGTCTTATAGACAGAGGCTAGCCATCATGTTTATTCACAAAAGTTAATTATTATTATTAGTTAGTTTCTTACCAATGTCTTAATTCAAATGCATTTATCAATCAAAGCACTATTGACATAATTTCCCCTCTACTTATGATCGCTTTCTGTTAAAAATTAAAGAGAGTAATGTTCAAGGACAGCAATGCAGTTGATGTATTTCAATTATGTATAAAATCTATTCGGTTTGTGAGTGTGTTACGACCCAAATTGCAAATGTACCAACATTAGTGCTGATGTCAAGCCTATAAAGGTGTAAACAGGAAATAGACTTGAACCCTTGGGCAGCAATCTCTAAATATCCACTTTCTTGACTTCAAAATGGCAGCTGACAAGTAAAGCTTTTTGCATGACACCGACCCAAAACACTCACTGTCACACTGAAGCCCACATTTCTGCAGGAGCATGACACAGGAGTTATTTTAAGATGCAAAACAAAGAACCGTTTGACAAATTATCTCCTCTCACAAGTCCGAGATGAGTTTTGAGCAGCAGTTGGGCTCTTTGCTTATCACCTCATCACTCATTAAACGCTGTGAAGGGCCATATATGTCTGTGCATGTTGTATAGGGAGAAGAGGGTGGAGCGGGGGAGAGAGGGAGTGGGCCTCGGGGCTTTCTCTGTGTCTGTTTTTCAGCACTGCACGTTGTTAGAGGTTTGACAGCTGCGTGATTTCTGAGTTTTTTTGTAGAAAGGGCAAGAAGCTCCCAGAATGAATCTTCAAAGAGCACCCTGACTGAAAAGAAACCACATGGACTCCACTAAATGACGGCTTTCTTACTCCGTTAGGTGGAAATAGGTGGTTCAAGTATTCGAGGAAAACCGAATAATGGAATATGTAAAATGTGGAGATAGTCTTCATCATCTGAGCTTCTCCAGAGCAAGTCATTTAATGTGCTGTTCTTTCACAAACTGAATCAAAATTTTACACTGAAGACTTTTGCTTGCTCCATTTACCGTGGTTGAGGGCTGGCACAAAGTGTATAATATGCTCCTGTGACCCACTGTATTTGGACCATACAGGATAATTATGTTCAATATTCTGTGGTGTTATTTAGGCTTGTCACGATGATTTCTATATTGACTTAATAATCATTTAATATATGAATGATGGAACTATATACAGATTATTTGCAGTGCTGAAAGCACTGCTGTCTGTGTGGTTAACATGAAGTTGTACGCATACATTTTTGGTTATTTCATGACTATGCAATAGGATTTCCTTCATAGAAGGTTGAACTTATGTGACTCATTACAGATGCAAACCAAGAACTCAAGTGTTTCATTCTGCTGTTTATTTATTGCAGCTGATGGTTTTTTAACAATATTGTAGATTTAGAATAGTTTTTGTGGTATAAATCTGTTTTGGGGGTGTCAGTGGTGTAAATTAGTTGCAGTATTATCGTTTATCATCTATATTTACTTCAGCAAAATATCATACTTCAAAATGTGATCTGTGTTGACAGGCGTAGTGTTAATGGATGGTTAATATAGATAATGAACTTGTCACTGATGTCAGGTTCAAAATTTGTGAATCTTCCTAAATCTAAAGACTGCAATTAAGAATGCGTTTATCATTACCACAGTATCATTACAATCTGACACTATCAAGTGACTGGAGTGTAACGAATGGAGAAAGTGGTCAGTTAATATGTGTTTTTGTTATTTTATTTTTTGAAACATTTTAGATGGTTGTTAGTTTTAGCCTGTTTTAATTCTTTTCTGACCAACACGAACAAGGCTGTAGCTCAAACTATGAGAATGGGTCAGAGTATTGATTTATTAGATAAGTGCCGCTGGTTAAACTCCAGCCTCCGCATGTCCTTGAGCAAAGTACTCAACGGTTTGACGGTAATACTTGCCCAAGCTTGCAATCGATTGTGCAAATGCATTAAAGTGTAATTTCTATATAGTTTTAAAATTCAAGGTATAAGTTATAAATAATTTTATGGTAAGAATACAAATCCTATGGGGTAGTTGCAATAATTTAAAAAGCAAATAAATCCTTCATGCATCAACCACATTCCTTTCTTTTTTTTAAATTAATGTTTTGTTTTTGTTTTTTTTGTGGATTCATTGGTTTAAAGGTGCACTATGTAACTTTTTGGTTGGGGGTCTGTCATTTGTTTCTATGGATGTCATTGCTCTACTTGGAATGTTCCAGAGTATGACATTAAACAGCTCTACCTTACAGTTATTCGATTACAGATGGTTTTATAGCTCCAAGATAACAGGCATTCTGACTGTGAGCGGGGTAGCCTCGCCACAGATCTGACTTGCAACTTGGACTGGGTTGGTCTCCATGAAGATAGAAAGGTTTAATGCCATACTGTAAAACGATAACATCTCCTTGAATAAAAGCATTTGACAGACCCTCCACCAGAAAAGTTACACTATGCACCTTTAAATAAGCTGTGTTCAAGTTGTCCATAACCTTGAAATATCTGTTTCAACATACATTCGACCGTATGGGACTTGTGTAAGTCATATGTTAATGGCCTGTATCAAAGTGGCCTCCAGTGCTTTACAAACAGGTTTTATTACCTGTGACTCTGACTTTACTCTCCAATGTCATTCACATAAAACAGCCCTAACAAAGTCTATAGGTTATTTAGGTGTAACTGTGCCCTTGTGTCAGTGAGTGCTTAATCTACCTAAAACAGCCCTTCACAAATTATAATTAGGAAAAGATTATTAAAGCGCCCATATTACACTATGTTAATATTGTGGCCTCATCACAAACATACCTGGAGTTGTGTTTTGTTTAATTCACACGTTTACAAATAAATCATGCATATTTATGCTGTGCTCTGAGCTCTCAAACTGAAAACACTCTGTTCCACCTTGAAAACACTCTGTTCCACCTTGTGATGTCATGTGGTACAGGAAGTGCTCCTCTGTGTTTTTAAACTCCATACACCTTCACTAGAATAATTTGGGTAATTTCAACTGTGGAATTGTTATTCTCTATTGAACAAAAGGTAAAAGGTAGCTGTTAACTTGAAAACTGAAGCTTCATGACATCATAAGGTGGAAAAGAGCATTTTGAGCTTTGGAGATGTAGACAGACCAAAAAGAAATGGTTACTCAAACATGTGTGAATAAAAGAAAACACAGTGTTTTGAGGAGGTAACAACATTCTAGCAAGGCTTAAAGCTCACAACAATCAATTTTGCGTAAAATAGGACTTTTAATATTGATGATTGAATAGAAAGAGAGTACCTACAGCTCAATACAAAGTACTTACAAGCAGATACTGTAACCACACTGTTAACTGTGGCTTGGACATTTGCACTTTCAGGTGTAAAAAACATGGGAGTATAGTAGATAGAAGCCTTGTTACTCTGCACCACTGTCTGGGGATGTGAGCACTCCTCTTGTCTCACACATTCGCCCTTTTTAACACTTTTTAGATCCATCCAGTGGGAGGCTCTGAGCTCCAGGTTGAAGCTACATTTACGGTGAAGAAAATTACTTTTGAAACTAGCAGCTACTCCCACTTTGCAACTGTCTAAGTCAAGAAAAGGTCACTTGCAATGTTACAGCCACACACTCATGGTTAACTTTGATAAAATGATTGTTTCTGCAAATATATGTTGTTTTTTTACCTTCCAGCTAAAATGTCCACTTAGCGTCTGCTGCTAATGCACTAGTAGCACAGTACAGGTATACCGCTACACTAAATTCTCTGGGGCTCTAAATGTCCAACAAAGCAATAAGTGATACTAACGTTCAATGTCACTGAAGATGTAGGAGCCGATGAAGGAGAACATGAGAACGGAGATGGGCAGGGCGCAGTCGGACAGCACCTCCCTCACTTTGGCATGCAGGAAGGGACTGGCAAAGAAAGACAAAGAGAGACAAATAATACAAGAATACAATTACGGTGGACAAGACAAGGACAATGGTTGCAATCCTCACACTGCTTAAGTACCTCGGTCCGCCTTTTGCTTACACAATTCAATCCAGCTTTGAGCCTGATTTGATTACTGGGAGCAATCAGAAGTAGAATATTTAATGCTTATTAAATCAAAGACGGGAACAGAAGCTTTGACGGAAAAGGTACATTTGTAAAAGGCCTGTCTGGAAAGTTCCCGTGAGGAGTCTGGGACTCTTCGGAGTCAAGCCTCCAATCTGCAGCGCGCGCCATCAGGGGACAATACCTGCGGTGATTTATCTCAGTGAGGGCTGATCAAACTGTACAGGCACGACTGAGGATCACTTACAATACAGGATACAGTTTAGATACAAAATGTGGTCCTGTTTTTTTCTGATTAAGTCTTGGTTTTACATCTGGTTTACCCATGGACTGTATAAAGAAGTGGACTACGGGAGTGTGACGTCAGCTCCATTCAAATGAAGCTCACGAGGCTAGCAGTTATAGGGGTGAATTAGTAGCCAATTTCCATATTAGAAATATTAATTTATTTAAGGACAAAACAGGAAAATAAAAATACCAGGATCATGTAGGTTCAGAGCAGTGACAAAGTCTCTCTTCCTGAATCTTACACATTTTATTGCTATACCTTGAAAAACATGAATTCTTACTGAGCACGTACCCACCTCTCTTCAGATCTGACCTGTAACTTGACCTAGAAGAGTCACCTGCTTGTCTCCATGGAGATGGGTAGGTTAAATGCCATACAGTGGGAAATTACAGGCAAAGCAATGACATTTCCAGGGAGACAAGGAGGTGGTGGATCAAAATTTACAAAGTGCAGCTTTAAGACATACAGTTGTTCTTGAGTCATGGTTTAGCTTTCTGCAGTGTGTCCTTATTGTCCGTATTTGTTATATAATTTTTTCATTTATTGTTCTTATCAAGTATTTAATTTTGTTGTATTAGCCTGATTGAGATGTATTTTCTCTGACAGTTCTTGTTGTGAACTTGTTGTGAAGTACTGATCTGCAGAGTGAAACATGGCTTTGTTGCTGTACTTACCTGCGTTTGAACTGGTACAGAGTGTAGCCCATCCATAAAGTGCCCAGCATCAGCAGCATACACAGCAGCGGCCGCTCACGACTGCAGTGAATGATGGATTCCGGGAGCGCGTTCAGAGCAAAGCCGGCTGCTACACTGCTCCTGTTCGCCACCATCGCGTCTACGCTCCGGTGCAGGTCCACACTTCTGTTCGATAATGTTGGAGGATGGTAGTACCTCTGAAAAACTGAAAACCACACATAAATGTATTAAAATTGTAAAATGTCAATGTTTTTTTCTCACAGTAACACGGCATTCATGGGTTTGCAGGCAGGAGACTTTTGCCATTCAAAAGATATAATTTTTAGTTTTAAAATCGCTATGGCAACTGTCCTATTTCTCCTCATTCTGAAACCCATGGATAGCTGCTTACTAAACCAAAAGATATTTTCCTTTGACAAAATAAACTGACTAACAGGTGCATTATTACTTTTAGAACCTGCTTGTTTCCATGGAAACCGCACCAGGCCAAAAGATGATGGGTTAGAGCTGTGGAAAGGTGACCCCACTCATTGGAAGAAAGCTTGTTTTTAAGACATTTTTGAGTGATAGAAACACTTGTGATAAAACAAATGGAGTAGGCAATGCTTGTGTATAGCAGAGAACAGTGGTAAATGTATTCTGTTGACCAAGGTTAAAAGCATTGTAGCTGCTATTGTTTTGAGCTGAAGTTCCCATCTCTCTAAACTTTAAATTAATAGAGCTACAAGAACATAAACCACATTTCAGGACTCAGGACTGATTCACAGCCACACAAACAGAATTGCTAGTGTCAGTTTAGGTTTCTCTCTTTGCATCCCCAAAACAAGCCTCTAGCATGTTACTATGGGATGGGTTCAAGCTGGTGCTACATCTAGAAGATTTAAATTATTTAGGACTCTTTTGCTCGCTAATGGTCTACGCTCTGCAGCCCAATGGCATTAGCTGAAAACCTACAGACATACACTTAATCTGAGATATTTACAGCAACTTGAAAATGTAGATACAACTTGTGTAGAAGTGGTACTCAGCAAAAAGCATATCGTTATGTGATTCACAGATCTAAACTTTATTAGAACTGGAAGAACTAAATCTCAACAAACATTTAAAGACTCAGGATTTACTTCACTGCAAAATGAAAATTGGTTCTGTCGTCTCTGCTCAGCTCAGCACTTTGCAAACAGCACAACAAAGGTGTTCAGTAAGGTACAATCGTTATTTCCAATATAAAACCCAGTGGGATATTGTGAGTTTGCTTCTAATTGGATTTTTTAAAATAACTTAGTATCCTGAGTAGTTATATTCATGTTTACTTTGGCTTTCACATATCGAAAAAACCTGCTTAAAAAATGTGCCGTTTCTGGGATTTTTGTCGGCCCAAGTTTTGTAATGAGCAGAAAACCTTTACATTATGGTATTGGAATAAAATGCAAGTTCAAGTTCTAAACCTAACTGATGAATTAAACCAAAACTTGAACAGAACTTAAGGACATAATTAATTCCACAACAGCTAAATTCAAACTGACTTACAAAACCTTAAAAATTCACTATATCTGGTATGGTGTCTGTCCATTTAAAAGAACACAGCAAACCCACTAATCACTGCATTCCAAATAGGAAGTGAGCATGGGGGCGCTTCCAGCTCCAACTCCAGCTCCAAATCATTTTGTACTGAAAAAAGGCTGTTCCTCTCTCTGTAACAGCTGCTGTCATTCTCATTTTTCTTAACCCGTTTTATATGATTCTGGTGTTTTAATGTCACTAATTTGTCCATAAATCAATTAATTTTCCTAATATGGAACTGGGCTCCTAGTTCAACCTCTACCTGCCAGCCTTGGTGTGCTTCATTTGACTGGAACTGAACACTATGGGTACACTTAGTACATTTTTTTACACAGTCTATGCTGCTACCAGGGACATGTTTGGAGATGTTTCACAGTACGGTATGGTATTAAACCTTTCAAAACCAGTCCAAGTTACAGGTCAATTCCATGGAGAGGCGACACCCCTCACAGTCAGAATGCCTGTTTTTCTAAATATTTTTGAGCTATAAAATGACATGCAATTTAATAAATGCATGGTAGAGCTGCTTAACATTAAAGGCAGAGCAATGACCATCCATAGAAACAAGCAGGCGATGAACCCCCAACCAAGAAGTTACATAGTGCAGCTTTAATTAAAGTTACTTATCTGTATCTTTTTAAAAAATCATTGTAACATCAGTAGCACACTACCACTGCTTGAATTGTACTGGTCTAACATGAAAATGATGCTACTAGATCATAATTCTAATAAATGTTCAGATTACTAGCATTAATTACCATCTGTAGCCTGATTAATGATGTTCTGTGATACTGTATATGTGATGGATGCCTTTGATTTGAGCAGACAGTGATGAGCACGCCCTTATGTGAATATAATCAAGCCCCAGCCTCTCCCTGCACTTTAACACATCTGTGAATTATAAGAAGACACTACTACAGGAGTTTGTGAGTGTCAGTAGAGTGCTCTGATGAGTTCATAACATCAGCTATACTCTGCTCTTTCCTTTTCCTCACACATACACAAGACTGGACCGGCAGTTATACCAGAGACAGGCTACACTGCAGCGCAAATGTATTCATTCTTGGTACCACAAAATATTTGGGCTTGAAAGTGTCAACAGAACGCTCCAGGTTAATGTTATGGTAATGGCATCTGTGGGAGCGAATTTTACAAATAGTTTCTCAGAATTGAACAAAAACAGAAACACAAACAAAAATACATTCTTAGCAGTGATGTTTTCCAAATTAAGCGATGTAATGTATTTATGATATCCCCCGTCCCAAGACAAGCTGCTGCAAATCAGATTAATTTAATATATTTGAGATATAACCACAAAGGTATGTAACTGTTCAGTTGTGGGTCAGTCACCTTATTATTTCTATGGATATGTCAATGCTCTGCATCTAAAGTTCCACAGTATGACATTAAACAGATCTACCTCACATGTATTCAATTACAGGTGGTTTTATTGCTCAAAAATACCTAGAATAACAGATATTCTGACTGCAAGCAGGGTTGTCTCTCCACAGATCTGATCAGTAACTTGGTCTGGTTTGATGATAGAAAGTTTTAATGTCATACTGTGAAACTTTTTTTTTTAAATCATGAAAGCAAGAACAAGTTTACTCCTGACTTTCTTACTTCCAAAGCAGGGGTACTATGCATACTGTACAAGAATATATTTATACAAATATAACTGAAAGCAGTTTATAATTTCTTAAATAATTGCATGTGATAAGAATGAAAATATAAACAGTCCACTACAGTCTCTGCTTTGACTTTGATTAAAATTGTAATTGTCCAGTGTGTGTAAACAAATAGAGATTTTATATTTGGTCATATTGCCCAGCTCCAGCTTTGATCTATCAAAAATACACAAACATTTTTGAGCATACAATCTTATTCAACCTTTTCCCTCTTAGAAAGACTTTTAATTGACCGATTCAGTGGAGTGCTCTGTTATGTAACGTTATTGCCATATTTAAAGAAGAGTAATTACATCTGAAGCATCATATTTTGACCATTACTGCAATATTCAAGGCACTTGTTCTTAAGAAAGTCGTGAGGGATTGTGATGGGTATGTGATTAGCTGTGACGTTGAGATGGCCATTGTAAAACAGACTCTTAAAAGAAGTGCAGGACTTCGCGGACTGGACTCATTAGTCAGTGGAATAATTCTGAAGGTTTAAAGCTGGAGCTGTGTTGTAACTGGCTGGTGACTGTGACAGCAGGTGTGACGCCCCATTTGTGATTAGTCATAGACGATCTCTCTATCTGCACTGAGATGGTAATGTCCCAGAGTGAGACTGCACCATAGCACACAATGAGAAACACAAAATGCTGCCCTGGTCCAAAAGCCTTATATAATAAATGTCAAGGTTTGGAACAATATTTCATAATTTTCTAAGTTGGGCAAAAGCAAGCTAACAGACAAGAACTTTTTGCAATTGAATTTACCTTATCTAAATGGCCATTTTGTGTAGCCAGCGCTGACAAAAAATGAAGCATTTTAAAAAGACCAAATGCACCACTGTGATGACATAAACATAGTCAGACATGGGGCCAAAATGTGAAAGTTGTAGCCAATGAAGGAATACTTACTTTTAACTGTGCCTTTGACTGCATCAACTACGAATGCAATTGAAATGAACAGTGCTATGACCTCCTCCGTCGACCTGCGAGAGAAATAAACAAAAAGAGAGAATAGTGAAATTACCTCTGGTTGTAAATAAGAATTCACTGGAATAAAATACGAAGTGGTGGATCAAGGAAAAGTGAGTATCCCAAAATAAGTTTTAAAAAGTGTACAATATAATCATGTGGATATAAACAAGTAATTAGTGTTGTCACAATACTAACATTTCAAATTCACTTCTAAAGAATAGACTCGATAGACTCGATTGACATTTACAATACAATGTATAAAACACTCTAACACACTATTTAGACAATAGAATGTCATCTTCAACATTAAATCATAGTATTTTCTTTTATATTACTATGTGGTCTTGTATCTGTGTAATCCTTCAGTCGTCCAGGTAGATTCCTTAGTGGTCCATGGATGTATACTAATCTATGTGGTCTATACTGTCTGACTGAGCTCAAGATTGTCAATACAAAACAAGATACACATTTGAGCAACTAATGATTCTAAAAAAGTCACATTCACAGGACAGAAATGAACCTTTCCTGAATATCTTTATAATGGTCTTAGTTAGTTAATAAATATTCTAACTAAGTAATAAATTTTTCAGGAAAGGTTCATTTCTATCTCTTTGACTTTTCAGTATCAACAGTTGCTCAAATGAGTATGAGACAAGTACCTGATTTTGGATACTTTTGACAACCCTACTTGCTATTTATGACTGTATGCTGAATGATATAGCGTTACCTTTTAAAGAGCTTCATTAGTAGGCTGAGGTTGAAGATGCCTCCCAGTATAAGGAATAAGCAGTTCCAGAGGCCAATGCAGGCATAAAATGCTGGGAAGTCCAGGTTGTAGTCGTCGCATATACCTCGAATGACTACAGAGAAAAAAATTTTAGTTACATTTTATATTTATACTTGTTCGTTTGTCCAAACGCCAGGACAATAGTGAGTACATAATTCATTAAAATTCAACCTGGTGTGTCAGATAATGTGTCCACGAGAAACAAACAAACAGCAGACTGATCAATGTTGATTTAATCAATATAAATGTAAAATAAGCTTTGTTGTATTGATCCTTTGTTGAAATATACAACTTTAATACAAGACAGGACTATTTTCCCTTCAGACTATCAGGGAATCCAAAGATCAGTGTTAGAGATTTTTTTATGGAGTAAGGTGAGGTTCGGATCTATACAGACAACTTTCACAGCATTACAATGTTTTTGGAAAGAACTAATGTTTAGAATCTTTGTTACAAAAACAAACACAGCATTATTGTCTATGAGAAAAGACTTGGTTACATAAAGTCAGAGCAAATTAAATGAGCACTTTTTGCTGATTCTACTGATTATTGTGATTTAAAGAGCATCATGTAAGATGTATGTCTACATTTGTTTGCACATGTCCAGCTCTGTGTGATTATGGTCCTATATGACCAGTACGCAAAATTTACTCTTTTGTGCTTTAAGCCATGTTGTAATATTGTTACCTCCCCAAAAGCATGCCTGGAGTTGTGTTTTGTTTCATTCACACATTTGAGTAATCCTGTATTAATTAGCTGTCTACATCTCCAAAGGAGAAAATGCTCTGTTCCACCTTGTGAAGTTATGTAGTGGTAGTTTTCAAGTTAACAGCTCCTTTTTACCTTTAGTTCAGTAGAAATTGGCAATTCAGAACTGAAAGTATCCAAATGATTCTAGTGAAGGTGTGTGGAGTTTAAAAACACAGTGGAGCACTCTCTGTATTACCACATGACATCACAAGGTGGAACAGAGTGTTTTCTGTTTGAGAGATGAACTCAGTCTAAATATGCAGCGTTTGTGTCTTACACATGTGAATGAAAAATAACACAATTCAAAGCACATTTTTGATGAGGAAACAACATTCTAACATAGATCAGAAAACACAGCAATATGGGTTATAGGGGGTAATAATGGCTTCATTGGTGGATTCAGCGCAGATTCAGCTGTAGGCAAGGCGCACTACAGGCACCAGCATTGTGTCCAACTGATGCTGATGGTCAGGAGAATTAAATGTGTTGTGGAGATGGAAATATTTCACAGGGGCAAAAAGAACAAAGCCTCTTATGACTTGGGTTTTACAGCAGTTGTAAAACATTGATCCAAACAGACCAAACAGTGAAAAGAATTTCATTCAGATCCGAAAATGACTAACACTCGTGAAATAGAGAGATCCGGTTGTAATGTTGAGCAGATTTCTGCACTGATGAGTTACGACTTTACAAATAGACCATTGTTCTGCTGAGGTTGGCTGCTGGAAACACAGCATAATTATCCCCCTGAGAATGTGCTTCGTAAAACTTTAACCTATTTACTTCAAACATGGCTGCACCACAAACAGGCAAACAGTTCTGGTATTATTGTGAGAGAGTCTTGGCACCACAGCTTCACCATGGGCCTGATCTGCAGCTCCCTCCGTCAACACGCTTTAGATCCAAACTAGTGCTGCTGGCTAATACCACACTATGCTCTGCTGTCTCTCTGTGCTGAATATAAAGCATACATGTCCATGAGTTAGTTTGTGACCCCAGGCTTTTGGGAACCAGCTCTTACATAATGACACTGTTCTGGGAAAAAGCAGGAATTTGTGGATACAATTACCCTGATGATGTGGTTTCCCTTTTATTCTAAGAGGTGGCTTTGATATTTAACATAATCTTCTTACGTTCTGTCTTTTATAACCATCCATCTGTAAAAAGGCAATGCCCTTTATAACAAATTTTCATGTTAACATATTTTTCATATTGGTCTTTCACATTCATTTCAAGCTATATTAAATTGTGGCAACAGATGAACTCATATATCTGAATAATTATGACTATTATATAATTAAATCTAGATGTATCCTGTAACACTGAAAATGATTTAAAAGTTTCTATAATACACAAAATGGATTCTTATGAGCTTTTAGTTGTGTTATAATATTGTTACCTCTTCAAAAACAGACCTGGACTTGTTTTGTTTCAATCACACATGTTTGAGTAATTCTTTAGTATTACTCTGTCTACATCTCTAAAGCTCAAAATGCTATGTTCCATTTTGTAATATCATGTAGTGGTAGTTTTTACGTTAAGAGCTAGCTTTTACCTTTAGTTGATTGGCAATTCTAAGGCTGAAATTATCCAAAAGATTGTTGTGAGGGTGTATGTAGTTTAAAAATTCTGTGGAGCACTTTTATATTTACAACATGACATCGCAATGTGGAACAGAGTGTTTTCTGTTTGAGAGAATAACTCAGACTAAATATGCAGGGTTTGTGTCTTAAATATGTGTCAACGAAACAAACTACAACTCCAGGTATGCTTGTGATGAGGAAATAAAAAATATGATTAAATTAAAAGTACATACCGCTGATGAAGATGGCTAGAGGGGCTGTGGTCAGGGGGATGACCAGAGGAGAGCCTGCAAACAGCGAGTAAATGACCCCTCCGATGCTCTGCCCAATGATGGTCTTACGGACATCTGGAAAACACAGAGACAAAGACACAGAACAGCTCTCAGAAGACGTGATTAACGACTATTTAGAAAAACTGCTCTGAAAATGTGACTTTAACCAAAGATTTGCGAGCAATTTTACAAAAAAAAGTGGATGTAAATACACTGAGAGTGTGTTTACTCAAAGCTATAAACAAAAAAATATGGCTGTTATAGATTTGCGCTTTTACCACTTGGCAGACGCTGAGGAGCTTTAAATCTCTCCCCACAAAGAATGACTGGAGATTTCAAGGGCAAAATAACATACATTCTGTCTCTTATCACTGTCATTTCTGTGTTACTTAATATGTATTATGTAATTTTCTGTCTGACCCCAATTAAAGACGCACCATGTAACTTTTTTGTTGGGACTTCATCAGCTGCTTGTTTCTATGAATATGTCATTGCTTTGCATGAAATGTTCCACAGTATGACATTACTCTACTACATTTATTTAATTACAGGTGGTTTTATAGCTCAAAAATCCCTACAAAAGCAGGCATTCTGACTTGAGTGAAGTTGCCTTTCCACAGATCTGACCTGTAACTTTGCCTGGTTTATGGTCCATGAGGATACAAAGGTTTCATACCAATGTGAAATATTCCAGACAAAGCAATAACATCTCTACAGAGAAAAGCATTTGACAGATCCTCCACCAGAAATTACACAATGTGCCTTTAAAGCTCTTATACAATAAGGAATAAATGGGTCTAGATTTGTCCTGTAAAAAATACTTTTGAGCTCTCTTCTCTAATCAATGGTATCTTACTGTTTTATGAAGTTGAACACTGGAGATGTCAGTCAAGACATGAAAGGAGAATGATGAATGCTAATGTGGTTTTTAATATGCATGAACTTGATACAAAATATGAATTCATGGTTCATGGTTTACAGCCTGTTTTGAATGTTTGCACTGTAATTTTTGGCTTCGGAGAGAACTTCAAGAATGTTTGGAGATGTCAAGGTTGAAAACAAAACAGGGTAACTGAAATGTTTTGCAGTAGTTCCTCTGCAATTCCTTCAATTTGTTGTGGGTTTTGAATGAATGTTATTACTGTATTTTAAATGTATAGTTGTTTTTACTGAATTCCCTTTTCCAATTTACTGTGGCCTTATAAAACTACAGTGGTGTAGGGAAAAACAAATGTCCAAATTATAAATGAGGACAATTCCAAATAACTTATGATTATTTTGAAACAATATGACAAACTGTAAAAATGTAAGTTACAGTATGCTAACTGTATGAGACAAATGCTTGCTGTTCCCCAAGGCGGGCTACATCTTCATACATATTTTAGAAAATCAATTTGTAATTCATTTTGTGCAAGTATAACTTTGGCTTGCAAGATAATTGATGGGGAAGTCAAACAGTGTCTAACTTTGCAATACTTGAAATACAAGTTTTTTATGGGGGGGTGGGCGGTGGTCATGTTGACAAGAATTGTATGCAGCTTGTGTTCTTAAAGTTTTTCTCACTCTCGATGTATGGACAGTGTAGACTGCAGAAGCATAGCCACTGATTAATGAGTAATTAATAATGCAGGTTGTCGGGTTTAGGTAGTAACAAGTCAGATAAGAGATTGTCCTTTTAGGTTTTAACCAACTGGATTTCAGCATTGAAACTGGCAACCCAAATGAGAGACTCATGTGAGGCTCTTCTCCTTTCTGACTGGATAATCATCTTGAGAACCCAAACATGTTTTTGTAATTAAGAACAAACCTGCATTACAAGTGTTATCAGTAAAAGCTATATTTGATTTGAATATGTCTACATTGTATTTTGGGACACAGTTAGATCATGTTTATGGAATTTAAAATCTAAAACTTACAGACAGTTTTAACCCATAAAATATTGATATACATAGATATTGATTAAGAATTATAAACAGCAATACACATGACTTTACCTATCTCTCCACGCGTACTCTCATCGTTGAGCGAGCCGAATGCGATGGCAGGGAGGAGGATGGCGATGTAGAGGAAGATGGCCGTCGTCATGTACTTGAGCAACGTTTTATTACTGCCAACGATACCTGAGGGTGAAAAACACACACAAACCCATGAGTCACATCCAGTAATGGAGCGGAGGAGGCCCTCATTTTCAAAGGACACAAACAGCAGTTCATTATTCACCAGAACATGCAGGTAAACCGCAGCAGCGTGCACTATTAAAACAGCTCATTTGGCTCCAGGTCATCCATCATAAGGAGCAGTTATTGCCTTTATCCAAATGATAGATAGGTCATTTTGGCATAAAACAGCCTAATGGGGCCATAATATGATCGCACTGATTTTGGATGCGTTACTTTCATTATTATCCAATGGTTCACAGTACACAAGACTAGGCAGAAATGGGCAGGCGGACTTATACCAAGAAAAGATGGGAGGACCCAGATGTGATTAAAGGTCCTATATTACACAAAATTTACTCTTATGAGCTTTAAGCCAAAGTCTGTCTATAACTCGTCTCCAAAGCTCAAAATACTTTGTTGCACCTTGTGATGTCATATAGTGGTAGTTTTCAAGTTAACAGCTCCTTTTCAGTAGATATAGGTAATTCCAGGTCTGAAATTATCAAAATGACTATAGTGAGGTAGTGAATGGGGTTTTAAAACATGGTGGAGCACTTCGTGTGTTACCACATGACATCATCAGGTGGAAAAATTGTTTTCTGTGTAATATGTAGGATTTGTGTGTTAAACATGTTGATGAGGAAACACATTATAAAATAGATCAGAAAACGGTACAACATGAGCCCTTTAAGAGAATCTATTGAATCTAATCTGGTGGAGGATTAATTTTAACTTTTAAAACACACAATATTAAAAACGTGTAAGAAAATCACAATTCCTAAACATAAAGTGTAAAGTGTTGTTTTTGACCCATGAAATCACGGCACATTTTAAATGCTCCAGTTTGTCCACTGCTGGCTGTTGTAGCAGCAGAATAGGATGTCATAAAGCTAAAACTGGACTCGATGGAGCTTTAAACTTTATTTCGAGGACTGCCAGGTGTTATTTGGAGGAAAGTATACACTCTTAAAACTGGTGTGCCCCATGTGCTACATATTTGACCAAATCCAACTAGTAGTTCAGTATTTTCAAAGAGGGTTGTTTCTGAGTTACTATAGGAAGCATGGCATATGTTTACATGTAAGTGTCAAAGAATATAAAAGATATGTTGGAGTGACATGCGAGAGTGTTCTACATGTATCTCTAATGGTGGAGTATTTAGTAGTTACCATGGTGACACAATGCACACATTAGCAAACACTGTCAAAAAAGTTTTAAACTTGTCAGCTATCAGTAGAGTATCAATAAATAAAAAACTACAACTGAACATTTAAAGATGCATTGTGTAACTTTTCTGATGGAGGGTCTGTCGAGTGCTTTTTCTCCATGAGATGTTATTGCTTTGTTTGGAATGTTTCACAGTATGGTATTAAACCTGCTTTCCAAACCAGATCAAGTTATAGGTCAGATCTGTGCAGAGACAACCCAGTCAGAATGCCTGTTTTTCTAGGTATTTTGATCTGTAAAACCAACTGTAATTTAGTAAATGTAAAGTACAGTTGTTTAATATTATAATGTGGAACATTCTAGACAGAGCAATGACATATCCACAGACACAAGTAGGTGACCCCCGACCAAAAAGCTACATTATGCACCTTTAAAATAGTCTTTTACAATACGTATTAGTTGTAGATGTTTGGTAATACAGTATCTTTTCTAAAAAGCTTATCATTTGTTCCTAGAATTGTGTGATTTACAAATGTTGGAAGTAGATAAATCAAAACATCAAGTGGACATTTGTATGGGCAGTATTCTATGTGTTGAATGGGAGTTGATTTGATGGGTCAGTAAAACCTGCTGGGAGCCAAATCCCAAAGCACCCATGTTTGATATTTGGAGGGAATGACAGTGGACAAGCTGCAGCATATTCTAAAAGGAAAACATCATGGTCACGAATGGTCATTTTGGTGGGACTGGAAATGACACATACGAAGCGCAGATGTATTTGAGGCCAAGGGTGAGTGTCCAGTGAGGAGCAACCCCCCTAGTGAGGCATAATAAGGATGAGATGATTCATTCTGGTCACAAGTCGGGCCTACCATCTGTGAAGTCCGACATGTAGAAAGGCAGTCTCCGGCAGAAGTCCTCATAAATCCCTCGACCAGCTTTGAAGAAATCTTTACACTGGAAGATAAAAAAGGATACATATCATTTGTTGGACTGATAATTTAATGACAATATTCACTTCTAATTAACTAAATAATTATGAGGAGGATTCTTATTAAATGTCTTTATCCCCAGACCTTATGTCGATAGTCTTGTCTTCAGTTGTGAATAATTAAAACCAATGCTAATTGACTTTTTAAAATATCTTTATTACGTAATTATTAAAATAGTTTGCTCTTGAGATAACACACATATGCTGTGCCATGTTGGACCTCATCCATATTAAATGATAATAAGTCATCTGTTGCCCATTGAAGAATATTTCTACTCAATTTAATAAAGCCTGGAGGTAAAAGTCATGACTTTTTTTAGCCTCATAATGATTGGATTAATGGATCAGCTTCTAATACTTTCCTTTACAAGTTTACCAATACTGAAATTGTGATTTAAAGTGCATTTGAAAGATTCATATAATTATTATTACATTATTTGGTGAAATAGTACCTGTATATTCATCATAATTTTACATCAGTGAAATGGCAGTTTATGAAGAAAAGAAGAAAACAAAAAGTTGTAAAATACAGGATGTAGCATGGAGTTTTTAGCATCTCTACCATTGACTGTTATCAAAATGCAGGGATAATTTGGCCACAAACATGCATTTTCCAAACGGGGGGGGGGCTCAAAGGTTGTCTACACAACTAGCATAAAAGAGATCATAATTTATTGCGTCATTACTACTTTAAATCAGCATTAGGCCCATAGACATTATGACATGCACTGTTAACATGTACATTTTAGAGGAAAACATATTATTTTGAATTGAGTATGCATTGTTATTTGTGGGCCCTGTACAATCTTCAGATAAATACAGGGGCTGTGGATCTGCAGACTTTGGGAACGACTGTTTTAGTCTAACCTACCATATGCACTTTAAAGTTTTGCACAAATACTGGTGTATCTTCTGAAAAAGTTCTGTACTTCTATACCTGCACTATGGATCTGTCGATACTCTTTTGTTTTCTGGTTACTTTTGACAGCATCAATAAATAATTGAATGATGAATCATGGTATTGTTATTGTAATTAGTGTTTTATCTGAAATATAACATTAGTTGCACATTAAATCATTCCCTTTTATGGGATATGTGAAAATCTGACAGAATAGCTCAGTCCTCACAACATCTCCAGTGCTCCAGTATGCTCCAGTAATACAAGGTCCTTTCGGGAATAGCACCACAGAAAACATATCAGATTTGTATAGTTTGGAAAAAGAACACATTTTTGATGATGGCTGTTACAATACCAAATGTTCTGAAAATAGTATTATTTTTTAAATGTTAAGCTTTTAGCAGGATCAAAGATGTAATTAAAAGTTTTGACTGTTCAACCAGGACCTTTGTTGTGGTAATTCTCTACAGGTGTTTGTGTGATTATTGAGTGACTAAGGAGCAGTTTCGAATGATCAAAAATCAAACTACTTGTTTACAAAATGGGATCCTTGTGGCACTTATGTACAATTAACTAACAATCTAAGCAAAATACAGTAATTAGTCAATAAATGTCAATAACTGAGTCAATAAAACTGTGTTCTTTTACCACAGCTTCAGTGGTTAAGATTTACTACTAAGAACAACCTGAACCAAAGCTCTCACAGACATCATTTCCCGGAGTTTCTTGGTCATTACAAAAATAGAACTAATCCTGGGTACAAACGGTGGTCCATGGCAACACCAAAATTTCACTTTTGACTGAACGAACTGTATGTGAAGTGAACATCTTTAAAGGTCCTATTTTCAAGACATGTTACAAGGTTGTTATCTCATCAAAAACATACCATTCACACATATTTGAGTAATACTAAATTATGAGTCTGTCTACATCTCCAGAGCTCAAAATCCTCTTCTTCTTTGAAACGGAAAATCCTCTGTTCCACCTTGTGATGTCATGAAACAGTAATTTTCAAATTAACAGCTACCTTTTATCTTTTGTTCAGCAGAGCAAGGCAATTCCAGATCTGACATGACCAAATGATGCCAGTGAAAGCGTACAGAGTTTAAAAACACAGTGGAGCACTTCCTGTGTTATCACATGACATCACAAGGTGGAACAGAGTGTTTTCCGTTTCAAAGAAGATCTCAGTCTAAATAAGCAGGGTTTGTGTGTTGTGTGTACTCCAGGTATGTTTGTGATGAGGAAACAACATTATTACAGACCAGGAAATGGCATAATATGGGCCCTTTAAAAACATATCTAGCACAAGCATTGGGTTTGTTGGTTCATTTGTTAGCTCTATATCTTTTGTACAGTAAGTATATTCAGGCTACATTTCTTTATTACTGTCTTTTCTGCTGTGACCTCTAAATATAAAATCTACACTGTGCCCGAGGCTGCGCTGAACTGTAAGCTTTCCTTTATCCTGCTCCCTGCTTGGGACATGGCACATTATCTATTATCTTTACTGCTATCTCTCTTTGTCATCCCCGGTAACATCAGGAGGGAGGTACACTACAGGCTGGCCCTTCATCACTCGCCTGACGAATAGACTGACACCATTCACACTCCCACTTGCACCTACGACAATTTAGAGCCACCAATTAACCTGCACGTCTCCTCTGGTCTGAGGGAGGAAGAGGGAGGACCAAGGACACTGAAAACTACACTAACAAAGCACAAACCACATAGAAAGTTTTACTCAAACTGAATTAAAGATTGACCAATATGTTTTTTTTATTTCGTGGCCAATTGTGGTACCTATTGTTTCACATCTAGAAAAACGATGGCTGATATTTCTATGTATGTAGGGCAGATTTTGATTATTTTCCCAAAATTCTGATATGTTTTATTGCCATTGTCAGTTAACAAACTAGGAACTTGCTTCGGCGGTATGGTGCAACATAAAGCAATGAGTAACGAGATAGTAAATACAAACTATGATGAAATAAAAATAAGGGCAGGCAGTAAAATAAGGAAAATAAAATTGACTTTGACTGAATGTAATACAAAATAGGGGAAGAACTATCAGTTCAAGAAGATGAATTATAGTTCATGTTTTTTAAAGTAACAGGATTATAAAGAGTCCGGTTAGGTTCATAGCGCTTTGAGTGCGCTTGAAGGTGGAAAAGCACTACAGAAAAATGTGACCAAACTGTGACCATTAGGTCTTCTATATTGATTAAACCTAAAATTCTTACGTACAGACCTTTATCAGTCCACAACTTAAGTCTGCAAAATCAGACCACTGCTAGAGAGGAAAACCATCTCATGGACTAGACAATGCTAAGGTCATCAAGGTCACAGAGAGCAACAAGTATCTTCGTTGTATCAGGGAGACCATTGGGAGTCAGAAATGCACCCACTAAATCAGGATGAGGGGGCATACCAACTTTTTCAAACCTGGGATACAGTTCTGAAGAAGTAAGACTGCAGATGGTGCATTCATCCTACTGCTCCAAGTAGGAAGACAATGCCAAAATCTGTTTAAATCAGCTGACCAGTGCAGCCAAAATGTCAAGGTATGAAACTGATAGAGGTCTGTACATAAGAATCTAGTATAAAGTGTTCATGAGTTCATGAGGACATAACATTACCAATAAAATTATAAGGTCATGCCTCTTTATTTTTCTATAGACTATTATATTTAATTCTGGAAACAAGGAAGAGGCCAGATATCTATTTTTATACCAACATGTTTTTCAACCTCAAATATTAGCAGTGTCTAATACAAGTTTTGATAAAACTAATCAGGAGAGGTCCAATTTTGCCCTACATGTTGAAATAATTTATTATTATTGCATGGAAGCCAGTTTTGTTTGCTTGCTTTTGGCTCTGATTTGATAAACAAATGCCTTGCTATGGAATTACTGTCCACCTGTTCACCATGTGTGCTATGGTATCTGTTTGACCAAGCAAAGCTACAGGAAGAAAAGCTATAAAACTCACAATGTAGTATTTTTAACATATAGGGTATCGGTTGGTCTGATGTCAATTTGTAGCAGAGAGGAAGTGGGTGGTCTCTTGTTTGGAGCTCATTTCATCATTGCGTTTCCTCTTCATTTCACCTGCTCTCTCACCATTTGTCTCTTTCTATAAATCCCTGGTTCGTTGAGTGACACTGAGCCTTTCAAGCCCTGGGATAAAGACCTAACACAATCTTGCTCCATAAAAAAAGAAAAATAAAGGGGAAAAAGAATCCAAAGGAGGTGAGAATGTCTGGGAGCCCTGGTCTGTCAGCTGCGACATTAGCTGGGGATGTTGGGCAAAAAGGGAAGGCAGGGGAGTTGTGACAGCGCAGTGAGAGATGTAAGGTCGTTTAGCCACTGAGGAGGGCTGGCTGGAGCTGATGCTGATTGATTAGGGGCACGGGAAAGATGGAGGAGTGGAGGGAAGAGGAGGAGGTGAAGAAAAAAGAATCAGGAGATGTGTAAATGCATGAGCACAGTTGCAGCTGTCTGTGGAGCTGTGACAAGACGGGGAGACGATCGAGCGGATGTAGAAAATGGGACGAGGGGAAAAAGAGATGTCTATGTGAGAGCTGGTTGTTTAAGGCTTCTGCTAGAATGAAAACTGTTCCTTGTAAACCTAAGGGAATTCTGTAAAATCTGTGTAAAATATAATAAATAATGTTTTGTGTCAACTAGGGATGGGACCATATGAAATTTCCTATATAATCGTAACCACAGTAACATTATACCGTGGAGTTGTGTATTTTATAATGTTTAACAACAAGAGTTTGTTTAAGATATATTGCTCCTTTGCTGCACAGAGATTTGGGGGAATGCAAAGCAATTATCTAGGCAAAGCAAATTGTCTACAGTGATAAGGATACTAGAATATAGGAGTGTATGGATTAAAAACCTATAGACTATTCCTTGACATAACAAATATGTGTATATATATATATATATATATATATATATATATATATATATATATATATATATATATATAATATATAGATATAGATATATAGATATAGATATAGATATAGATAGATATAGATATATAGATATATATAGATATATTTATATAGATATATATAGATATATATAGATATAATTAATGAACTCAAGATGAAGTGCTGCTTTTTTGTTAGATCCAGTCAAATAAATTTGCTGTGATAATACCATCCAATATTGTGATTTTAATTAGGGGTGTGCAAAAATATAAAAATATCAATAAATCATGATACTAAATTTGGTAATACAGTATTGTTATCATGGGCTGCTGTATCTATATCGTCAAGAGTATTTTTTGGTATCTTTTAACATTTTGTTTATTTCTTTTAACATTTGTTTTTGTTTATACAATACACTTGACATATTCACTAATTTGATTATTAAAATGGTTGCATTTCATATTGACTTGGCACAAGCGGTGGCTCAACAAAGAAGTATTTGATTCTTAAAAAAAAGCAATACATCATTGCAATATATCAAGTATCGAATCTATCACCATATCGTGATATTCACGTATTGTGAGCCATGTCTTGTGTATCATATTGTGAAGAACTCTGTGATTCCCAGCCCTAGTTTTAATGCGTAGTATATCTAAGTACTGGTGATCAGTATTAAATGAAGGTACCCATCCCTGGAGTCAACACAAGAAATGGCCAAAATGTTTTTTGTTTTGTTTTTTTCATTCATTATTAGAATATTTAGAAACTGCTCAACTAATGGTCTTTTTTCATGTAGCAAGCTCCAAACAAATCCAACTGAAAACAAAGGGTTCGCACATTTGAAATAATGTGTAGAACCAAAAAATGCTATGATAATGACAGTTCATGATATGATTAAATCATATGAATTACAAAAACACAATGCAGATACGACACATACCCAAAGCAGCTGTGAAAGGCTCCAACACTTCCGTGAGCCATGCAGGTAAGCAACAAAATGAGTGAACACTAATGAATGCAATATTACTATTTTAGTTATAGACAGAAACTGATCTTAAAAGTAGAAATTGCATTCAAACAACAAATACGGCGTAGCAGTTTGTAGATTTATCACTATTGTTTTATAACATCTATCCAAGTATTTTTAAAAATGTGATTCACGACTCAATCTAATATTCTATTCGACTCACCATTTGGGAATCAGGGCACTGTGTATTCCCACAATGATGCAGTAACCATTGTCTAAAAGTTGCATAATACACGAGATACTGATCCCAAATGATTAAAGAAATGTCTTTAAATCTTTAAACCAAGCATCAAACCCGGTCTAAACCATCACTAGACTCACACTAAACTAGATCTAAACCAAGACTAGAATGTTCCTAAACCAGGTCTAAACCACGACTACTCCGGTCTACGTTGAAGCACACGCCTTGAGGTCTGTCTCCACTTTAAATACTCCAACAAGGGATCAGTTTGGGTCTACACCAGGACTAGACTGATACTAAACAAGGTCTAAGCCAGGTCTACACGGTTCCTAAACCAGGTCTAAACTTGATTAGACTAGATTAACACAAAATCAAGTCGAAACCAGGACTAGACTGATACCACAACTTGACTGTTCCTGAACCTGGGCTATACCAAGACTACACTGTTGCTACATCAGGTCTAAATCAGTACTAGATTAATACCAGATATAAACCAGGACTAGACTGATACTAAACCAGATCCAAACCAGGATTAGACTGTTCCTAAACCATCTTTAAATAGGACTAGAATGATATTAATCCAAGTCTCGATCCCGGAGAAGCACACACCTTGAGGGACTTGTGACTGCAGGGGTCTGTCTCCACTATAAATATTTAAACCAGGGACCGATCCGGGTCTAAACCAGTACTGGACTGATACTAAACCATGTCTAAACCAGGACTAGACTGTTCCTAAACCAGCTCAAAAACAGGACTAGACTGATGCTAAACCAGGATTGACTGGTCTTAATCAGCACACACCTTGAGGGGCTTCTGGCTGCGGGGGTCCGTCTCCTCCATGCCCAGAGGAATAGGCAGGGTATTGGTGGCTGTCAGCTGTTGCCTCTGAAACACCAGCGCCTCCTTAAACTCCTCCTGCGTCTTGGTCTCTAAAAGCTTTTGTCTGAAAGAGATGTCGGAGAAGAGAGTGGCGAATGTTCTGCCCAGCTCCATCGCGGTCTTCGTGCTTTTCTGTGAACACAACAGATTAAAGTGGTTAGACCTAAAAGAAGCTGACAGCACTTAGACCGGGAAACTATTTATTCCATATAATTCCCTTCTGTTTCATGAAAAGCTGTGGTACAATGACATTTCCGTGATTTCAAATGGGATTTTCTGGATTGCTTTGCTTTCACAGTGGGTTTTGTTGTTGCTAATTCGGTATCAATTCCAACTAAGTCTGAGAGGAGACCCGGAAAGGGGCAGAGTGGTGGTAATAATGGCCTGGATGAGTGTGGGGAGAGGGGAGCGTGGTGCCAGGGAAGCCTTGTGGTCCAGGTGGTGCTGATACTGCGCAGTGCTCGGGGCGAACAGAAGCAGCTGCAGCAAACAGAGTAACCAAAGCCTATAAGCTTTTCGCACTGGCCACACACTCACAGGATTAATGTGGGATCCAATGGGCACAGGAAACCCTACCTACAGAAATTAGAATTTATGTTCTATATTTATTTCATATATTAAATTCACATTAAATACTACTGCTGGGCTTCAGATGATATCACACCATTTTATTGGTGGTTTTCAGATTCTCGAATGTCATGCTCCCATTTGGGGGCAAGCATCAGATTTCCCTATTGATTGCCTTTTATTTTATCTTAAAATATCCAAAAGGTAAATTCACAAATGTTGTATTTGGTATTATTAATTATTAACTAAACCCAAGAACTCACTGTACTGCAACATAATTTTGCATTTTAACCATTTTAATTTTAGCTGCCCCCATCTGTATTAATTAATATTGGCTCATAGAATGTTGTGATGCCATCTGAAACCCAGGAATAATATACATACAATATTTAATAGCTAAAATGTATATTGTTGAAATGCTATTTTTTGTTGTAATACAGTGACTTCTTGGTCTAGTCAGTAATAGAAGAGATCAGGTTCAAATGTGTGAATTGTATTTTTAGATATTTCATGGCAAAGTTATCAGCAGGAAAATCTGCCCCTTGCACCATCATATTCTAGAATCTGAAAACCACCACTATAAATACTACTTAAATCAGTGGTTAGAGCGAATGTCTATCATTTGTAGAAAAAAAAAATTGAATTGACAACACAAATCCAACTTATTTTGGGTCTGAAACTGCACTCCACTGCTGTCAAGTCCATTGAATATTTTGTGGTGTTGGGAATCTACAACTCTTAATTAATCAGATCCAATGCCTTCACTAAGGTTATTTTCTTTTTTAAGTGTGGCTTCAGCTTAAATGTGATAATAACACACATAGCCGCTCAATAAGCATTGCACTCAATAACTATTTCATGCAAATAATTTCAATTTTTGAAGTATTTATTATCATTACCAAACCAAGTATACAGCACTGTTAAGTGGGTGTCTGCTACATCATATTTTCCCAACAAATCTTACTTACAAAAGTTGATTCAAATAAAATGTTGAGTTATTGAAGATCGAAATGACTTGGGGAAGCATAGTTTATAGAGAAAGTTTTGAAGGCTGTTGCTTTGGCTTTATGAATTAAGTAAGGCCACTATAAGAGCAGTGGGAGTTTCTTTAAGGCCAACAACACATAAATGTGTCAACAGCAGAGCTCGGGGTTTGTTCACAGTGTAAATGAGAAATAGAAACATTTTAAAAGGTCATGCCTACTCAGCACATCCACTCTCTGCTTAAGAAGAAGAAAAGCCACAGATGCAGCTGTAAAGTCTAAATCGCTGGATTGCATATATTTGCCAACCAAAGGAATTCCTATTATCATCACCATCAAATATTTTTTCTTGTGGAAGCAGTCCCCATCAGGAGTAATTGCGACATAACCCTGCTTTATGCTTACTTGGGGCTAAGATTAATGTGTGCGAGAATGCCATTAGTGGTTGTGATTGCTGCCCATAAGATTTGCAGAGGGATAAATGGAGAAGCAGCAGGACAAAAGAGTGGAGTTCATGGGAAAATAAGATGGAAACCCAAAGGACAAAGTAAACAAACAGTGTAGAAATGGTTGGCTGGCTCATCGTCAGAGCAAAAGCCCCTCCACACCACCTGCACTTCAATGGGCAGAACAAATCACTGGAAACACGACCTACAGAAAGCCGAAGGGAGCGCCCGGCATTCCTCATCATTTTGTCCGTGAATTATTCCGGAATAGAACATACACTTCTTTTAGTGCATGCTGAATAAAGTATCTATTCTAGTTCTACTTTGGAAGAACTAGAAACATTTTGTTGAAAGGTATTCTAGGCTATACGCAAGCACTGCATAATTTAGCCTGAGGATATATACATATAATATAACTTATATGCTTAGTGAAGGAAATGTCTAAATAATTGCTGTGAAAGACTGTGAATTAAGTTGCTATAATACACTTTTAACTATACCATCGAGGTTCTTTTGATTTATAACTTACAATACATGGAAGACAGGATTCAAAGACAGAGGTTTAACAAATCTCCATGGAGACAAGCAAATGACAGGCTACCCAAGAGTAAAGTTGCATGTGCAATTTCATTAATTTTTCAACCATAAACAGCTTTCAGAATACAGTAAAAAGTCAGCACATACGAGTATTATTTACATTTCCTTCTAGAGAGAACACTCCCTCCACTGAACTATAAGTGATAAGTTGCTTTTAAACAGTGTGTGATTAATAGCCTATTTCCACGTTTGCCTCATAAAAACCTGGTTGTTTTTGATTAAAGCCCCAAACTCTCTGCTGGACCGATATATATTTAATAAAGGACAAATCTCACACCCGCAGTCTCACTTTGATTTGCATGTCAGTCCCGTTGTCGCTCTCCCATGGTTTCTTGTTATCTCCCGGGTAATAAAGGCAAAAATAATACTTAATTGGGCTCAGGACTGGTGCCTGTCTGGGAATACATTTGTAAGAAATGAGTAATTTAAAGTTTGAGCTGAATTTAAACAGACTACAGCCACACAAATCAGAACAAAAATTATATATTTGAGGGAGTCATGGCCAATTGGTCTATTCAATGATCTCGCCTGTTAAAATACACTTATTCATAAACCAGTTGATATGAGAAGCAAAATGGCAGCTGGTGGATAGGGTCTGGGAGACAGGAATGAGAGAATTAAGAAAAAGATGAATATTTAAGCTAAGTCATTTGAGCAGCAGTTATGAGATCTGCAAATGTCCTAATAATCCGGTAAAGGGGGATGAATGGCGGCTTGGTCTGTTGCTGCAGGGTGAAGGCGCCTCGTACCATTTTGAGTGGGGCCAGGACCAGGATGACATAGCGGACTTCACAGCAGTTTTCACCCCAGTTCTGTGGCCGCTCCAGGCGCGAGATGCACACGTGACGTCGCTGCAGACTCTTGACGTTACAGCTGGAGAGAGAGAGAGCGAGAGCGAGAGCGAGAGAGAGAGAGAGAGAGAGAGAGAGAGAGAGAGAGAAAGAGAGAAGGAGTGAGAGGGTAGAAACAGAGAGGAGGATCAGGGTTTTATAAATGTCAACGGCTCACCTGCCCTTCATTTCCATAGATTAACCTCTTTCTGAGCAGCAACAGTTAGGCCCTGCCATGATGCTCTTTAATGCCCACGTACTATGTAAATGTGTCAGTGTGCATACTATTATAACGTGCCCATTCAGTATTTTATATCACACATGTCTTGTTATATCGATGTGACCTCTAAAAACATATGTAATGTAAAAACTCACTGTGGAGTGAAATTGACTGTAAGAAAAACCAACCTCCATAGTCTATACCAAAGTCTGATCTAAGATTTCATTGCCTTGTTACATAATGTCATAAGATAAGCAATTACTGTTAAAAAACAAAACACTAAATTGCATATCATAAAATACATATATATAAAGAAATTAATTATAAATATTCTTAGTTACAATCATTGAAATACATTGTCAAGGTCATCTAATTTGTCTAATGTGTATTCATGCACATGCACCACATCAAAATCAGGACAAGACTGGGACTTCATCTAGAAATATACTTGGACAAGATCAGGACTGAACCAGGACTGGAACCAAACCAAGTCTAGATCAGGACTAAATGGGTGTCAACTAGAACCAAACCAAGAGTGTGAATGACACATCTTAAATCAACCAAAATAAATGGTGCTTTGCCAACTGTCACAGCTGTTAGTGTTACACCCAGGGCTGCAGTAGCTGTGTGCTGCCTGTTACCATAAAACATGAAATATGACCAAAACTATCCTAATATTGTGTGTAAAATGTGTGCATGTATTTACAGAGATTACACACAGTCTGAGTGAGTCTTACAGGATACAGAGCCACGACTGTTGGTATCGGACTCCTGTGGCTGTGGCTGTCACTCCCTGGATGGTCTCTGAGAGCAGGTGAACTGAGGACCAAGAAAACACATGTTAGTACAATTCAAAATATAGCGCCAATATCTTTATCTTTTTAACATCCCAACAACTGCTCAATATCTACGCAATGTTAATTTTTCATATAATTTTTACATATAATTCTTTTGTGTAGGTATTTAAAGGTACACTGTGTAACTTTTCTCGTAGACAAATGTTGCTCTGTCAAGAATTTCCACACTATGGCATTTAATTGATCTCCCTTCATATAGACATATAGCTAATGCCACAAGGCCAAGCTACAAGTTAGATCTATGGAGAGGCGTCCCCACTCACAGTAAGGATACATACAGGTGTTTTTGAACATTAAAACCACCTGCAATTTAACACATTTATGATAGATAGTTTAATACCATACTGTGGAACATTGCAGGCAACGCAAGACAAGCTGTGGTGGATCTTACACCAGGAAAGTTACATAGTGCAGCTTTAAACTCACGTATTAAATATAAATTCCCTTACTACGCAATGGTGTTGGCCAAAATCCTGTTCTAAATGTGCTTTCTCGTGGACTGTACCAGGCTTCCAGATAAGATGGCAAGATCAGAAGTGTCTAACGAGCTCTGCCTTCTGCTTTGGAGGGCACAGCGAGCTTCTGTGTTTGCAAACTCCGGTACAACAGCACAACTTAATAATGATGTCCGTCTTGCCCAGAAACACCACCAACGCTTTTAGCTACGGGGTTAAAACAACACAATTTTGCCTAGCACTGCCGTGTGTACACAAAACGACTCATTAAAGCGACCTGAAGTTGCAGCTAATAAGAGGAATCTCCCGTTTTCGAACATGAATAATTGTGTGTTTGGGGGGATTCTTTAGCAGCTGCAAGCCGGCGACTATCCCAAAATCCCACCCCTGGCGTCGGATGGCTTCCCGTTTGAAAATACTCTCCGGCTCATCAGAAGTGAGCAAATTACTGGGTGGAAATGTTTGGATCTCGTAAGCAGCGGGGACCATCATTTCCATATCATTCTTGATTTTTTTTTTCGATCTTTGTCTTTCTTTCTCTCCTCCCCTTGCCGTCAATAAAGTATCTCTCCCATTCATGCCAGAAAATGATGGGCGTCACCATGACAACAGTATCACAGGAAGAGAGAATAAGACGGAGGGGGCACATGGGGAAGAATGGATGAAAAGAAAGCTTGTAAGGGAAGAAAATGACAAGAGAGTCAGATAGACAGGCAGACAGACAGCTAACAGCAAACAGCAAAATATTCAAGAACGACTAACCGGGCTATGGGAATGAATATATACACGACAAGAATATGAAAACGAGTTAGACAAGGGGAAAGGGGACAGAGGAGTAGGAGACGGACTGCGATTCAATTCAATTAACGGCAGTGAGGCTGACAGCCATGTAATAATCAAAAACCATCCAATTTCTCATTGACGTCAAGGAGGGGAGAGAGGGAGAGAAAGGGATGAACAAAGAATGATGGCGTGATAAAGCAAAAAGGGAAAGTAAAGCAGGAGCTAGCAGTGTTAGCCATGTAGCTTTTTATTGACAAATGTTTGTGTTACGGAGAGACATGGCTTCACTGTGGGGAGTCATTTAAAGAGGGCTTCACAGCTTAGGTTTCAGAGCTGTATTCCTATTGACAAACAGGTCGATAGGCTCATGATTGGTCCGGCAACACCACTTGACTTTAGATGTGCCTTAAATCCCTCTAATGCTAATAAACAGCGATCAATATGTGAACCAGGTGTTTAATTTGATACTATTATCCCTATAACGTGTTTATCCACTCCACCATCTACAACATTAATTAAAAAGCTTGGGTGCAGACGCAGCTCTAATGCTACAGTCTTATGATTTATGGCATGCCACAAGTAATGGCTTCAAAACTGAAATGAGAAAATGACATTTGCCCATAATTTATAATATGGGGCTTCTTGTTTAATGTCACACTAGCAGTTTACTGTACACTGATGAAGAATTAATGAAGGATGCCAAACCTTAATATTCATTTTGATTAACTCACTATTTCAACACATATTTAAAGATAAATTATTGTACATCCTTGGTTAATCACTTACATCAAATACATTTATTTATTGAGCTATTAATTAGAGCCTGCAATTAAACCAAAAGGCAATATCCTATTCACCAAGGTCAAAATTACCCACTTACTTAAAGAAAAAAGAAAGTTAATGTTTCTAACAAAGTTTTACATTCGTTCTATGAATTTTTGTAGTCTATTCACTATCTATGTCAAGTCAATACTACAACAAAATAATTACGATGTCAAATGACAACATGCATCTCTTTATTGCTTTCAGAAATATTGCACTGTTGCCATAGTAATTAACAATTCAAAACAACATGTTCTCTCTTTTGAATGGTGAAAAGTCTTCAAAATGGCACCTTAAAAAGGAGGTTGAAACCCATGAATAGGACTGATTTAGCTTACAGCCTGAGACATATAGAATGAAATGTACAAAGAACGGTCTTCATTAGTCTGTTACTAGCCTGTAGTTACAGTAGACACATGCCTATTGGTTATAATGATGTGGTTTTAGCTAGTCCTAATCACCATGTTACCTGCTGCTAAAGCGACGCTCGTGAGAGGAAGTCAGGCTAAAGGTGTGATGGCTGTGATCAAGCGAGAGACTAATTAGGACACACCCATGTGATCAGTGTCAGTTATCTGAAGATTTCTGCTGCATTTCATCAGCTTTGGTTATGCAAACAAAGCTGAAGCCACAACCAGGAAACAGTAGAAAAAAGACGACGAGCAGCATATCAAATATGACAGACTTCAATGGAAACTGATGGAAAATATGAGCATGGAAAGACTGCATGGCTGGATTGGTCTTTTGATCTTGAGAATTTCTTTGAATGTATTAGACATGTGGCTTCGACCAGGAGAAAACATTGTTTCTGTGAAACACATGATAATATATTCATTTGGGGTACATGTGTTCAATGATTATGGTGAATGTAATGAAACTTGTGTTCTGACTCATGTAAGAGGTCTGTCTCTGCAGATATAGATACAAAAGATAAAAATAGAATCTACTGCTGTGTTAAAATCTATTACTAAACTTCTGGGTAGAGTAATGACTGAATTATTTGTAACAAAACAATGTAAAGTCTTTGTTTGTTTTGAGACAAGAGCTCCAAATTGTAGCTTTGGGCAATCATATTTTTCAATTAGTGGCGTTGTACTGTCAGGTAATTTCTTGATAATAGAAAGCAATTTCAGTGTTATTTTTATAGCATATTCCACTACTTGGAGCACATATTAATGTGTTGATGCCCCATTGTCAAGACTAAGTTAAGTACATGTAAAAGTATTTATAAAATATTTTGCCATTTTAATCTAAGAAGTTTGTAAAGAAAAAATGAAAGCATAACCTTACATACTGCTATAGTTAAGTTACCAACAGGTGTGTGAGGCCATGTGAGGTAACCCCTCAGGATGTGTGACAAAGTGCACATTCTATTGTAATCTACAGTAGAAACAGCCCATAAGCACTGATATAAATACTCTTAATTTCTTTATGTGACAGGCTGATTTTTATATGAGTGGAGAGTCAAAAGAAGACAGACAGTGTTGGCTGTTGGTGCGTGAAATGGCCTCCGCTGGCGTTGGCAGGGAGAATCTTTAGATTATGCTCAGAGGTGACCTCAATAAAATCTCCTGATCTTTTGCTGCCTAAAAGATTAACTGGTCTCAACCACTGTCAGGACACACACGCTACTCTGACACACACACACACACACACACACACACATACACACACAGAGGCACAGAGGAAATGATTGGTTTCCTTCAAAGCTTGGGTTGTGGAGGGCACTTTGAAGGAGGTGATTAAAACACAGAGGGCCCGTACAGCAGTGGCAGTGAAACACTTACTGTATATTAGGTTTGGGTCTGGGCCAATCACAATGCAGCACACGCATGTTATGAAGTCACGTGGGGATGAGAGGACTGCGAGGACTGGGTCAACTGTCTTATGTGGAGAGGAAGCGTGGTGCAAACTAAGCCCAATTATATAAGCAATAAGAAAAACACTCCAACAGCCATGGTAAAATATAAAGAGTCCATTTTTGCCTCCCAAGGACGTGCCTTCAGTTGTGAAACCATTTTAATTTTCTCTTGCTAATCATAGTGAGTCCACTCTGTATTCAGGCTGAAGCCCCCTTTTCTCTGGCTTTATAAAAGGCACTGATAACATTATTGGACAATGAGTCCGGTGGACGCAGGGCGTTGATTTGAGGGGCAGCTGAAGAGGCATCGCTATCTGTGACATGGGAGGCTTTGCTGGTGTGTGTAATCATTTGATGACTCAATGGATCGACCCAGTCCTGAGCGTGGAGAGCGACACAAGCGGCATACTGATGGTGATTGGTACAGAAGCACATCACTGATTGCAGCCTCACGGAGACTGACATTTTCATCCAATTAGCACAGCTTACCGTCATCAAAGAAAACGAAACTTTGAGAGTTGTCTGCACGCCGCGGAGAAGCAGGGGACAGAAAAACCAAGAGACTGTTCATTCACCTGTTGTTAGTTCATTTTAGATAAACACGCCATAAATGAGCAGTGTTCACCAGGACTCAAGGGCAGCAGCTGACCATCACAGCACTTGTCCAAAGAGCTACTAAAACCACTTCACATTGTCTCATGTTCAAACCAGCTTGAGTTGAATCTACATTACACAACTAGATATTGACAGAAGTTGTAATACTTGTGTTAGACTTCTGTGGTGCTTTCAATGGCCATCCCGACACAGGCATTGTGAACAGCTCGCACATAAATATCTCCAGTGAACAGAGCTTAATTTCCTGCCCTCCTTTACCTCATGCATATTAAATATCATTTCCCAGAGAAAATCCCTCACTGTCTCCTCTTTGTTAGGAGCTGTGAGATCCTATCTTGATTACCGTCTACAGGCTATTACCAGAAATTTGATTTTATCACAGATAGCAGTTTCATGTTGAGTGAAGAAACCCAAAGACGCAGATGA